AACAAGTCAAGTGTGCTGGTGAGAGCCCTGAACTGGCGAGCCGCTCCCCCATGGCAACACCAACACGGTGAGGTTCCCAGGCAGGCCCCAGAGCCCACCAGCGCCTTCCTTTCCCTAAACCAGGGCAGCACTAGGGTGACCGTGAGGCCTCCTGTGATCTACATGCGTGTGTGATGACAAGGAGGCCGGGAGGGCTGAGCGATGCCAGCACAGGCCCCAGGCCACCTAGTCCCTCGAGTACACTGGCTCCCGGGAACCAATTCACAAACTCACCCTGGGGCCCCCAAACCGCAGGTGCCAGGACCCCCATGTGTCACCCTGCTACCTCCTGGAAGCCACAGGCAAAGAAGCTGTCCCCAGCACCCCTTCCCCAGCCCCACAGGGAACGTGGGGCTGGTGCGGAGACCTCTCTGCAGCAGGTGCTCTGAGGCCTGGTGGGGCCCAGGCGGCTGCTCGTCCAGGTACCCTCTCAGGACCCTCTGACCCTTAACAAGCCTGCCCCTGTCCCGGCCCCTCCCATCGCCCCACGTCTCTGCACCGCTTCTCCAAAGAGGCTGCTGCATGTGCTTATCTCCACTCCCGTCTCCTGTTCTTTCCAAAGTCAGCCTTACCAAAGTGGTTCATGCACAAAATATGAAGGGCAAAAATCAGCAGGTTCCTGCTGCCCCCACCCCAACCCCCAGCTTGTCTGGTTGTTTCCTATGGTACTTGCTCCGTATCTCTAAGTCACACATATGCCACTTGTGTTCAAATACTTGCGACGTCACCTAAGGACCCAGCCCCTCGGTCCCCACCTGCCCCGTCCTATGCAGCTCGTGGGCCTGTGGTCATGTTTTCGCAGCCGTGTGAAAGCGCTCAGCTGAGGAGGCCGCTGCACGTGACCACACCTGCCTGGCTCCCTCCCCGCCCCCTCCCTTGAGATCTTGGTTGTCTCCATTTGCTTGTTTCTGATTCTGGCGGGGAACCTGTGACCAACTGTCCCCTAACTTCCGTCCTCAGGAGCAGTTTCCAGGCGGTTACACCCCTCGGGTGCCGAGGCCACACCCTCCACGGGGGCCTCGCAGGCCACTGGCCTGTGCTTCCGCCGCCCCTGGGCTGGGCCGGGGTCCCTATCAGGGATCCATCTTTTCCCTCTTCTGCTTTCTCACTCTTCTTGGTGGAGCAAACTCCAGTAGCTTCCAAAGGATGCACGGGAAGTTAACTATATTCATGAACATTTATGTGTATTAAAATACTTTCTTATACTCTCGCAACTGGCCAAGGGTCAGCCCGGGGTCAGAATGCCGGGCTGGAACCCTGTACCCCCAGAGTGCTGAGGGTAGGGCCCCACTGTCGCTTCAGTGCAGCAGAGGCGAGTCCAGGTCATGCCGGCCTCAGTCCTTCGTGTGGCCCTGGGCAGCAGGAGTCACAATAAAAGAACCCATTTGTCTCAGGAATATTTTCAGAAACCTGTACATGAGAGGCCCCATGCCGGGGCTCGGTTCACACGGTCCCCATGTCTCCTCTGCAGTGACAGCTGGCGCCCCACAACCGCAAGTGCCCTCAGCCCCAGGGGGCACGTGGCACCATCACTGCAGGGCCGTGCGCTCTGAAGGGCGGTGGCCCCCATGGCCTCCCCAGGATGAGTGGTGAAAGGAGGTCACGAGACAGCCCGTCCCTGATGCTGGGAAGAGGACAGCCGGCTACAGCAAGAAGGCAGACCAGAGAGCCGCAGGGCCACCGCTAGGCAGCAGAGGATGGAGGCAGACCGGCAACGGCCCCGGTGTGAGTCCGGCAGCTCCATGCAGCTGGAGGGCAGGAACGCCTGCCACAGCGGGGCAAAGGCCGCACGAAGACGCACGGCCAGAGGTAGCACGGCCGTGGGTGCTTGGGAAGGAAGGCAGCAAACACGGCCGAGCACAGCCCTGTACCCGCTGCCACGCAGGGCCCTGAGAACCTTGTTCGCGGAGCGCCCATGTGTGCAGACACACGTAGCACTCTGCTGTCAGAACCTACATTTTACCTTCAGGTGTGACTTCTCCCCTTGAGGTCCCGACTCATGCATTCATCTGCCTGCTCAGCATGGCTACTAGAGCCATGTAGGCATCTCAAACCCAACAGGCCCAAACAGCAGCGGGCTCTGCTCTGGTGCGGCTCTCCCTCCAGCCTCCCATCACCGGGGTGGTGGTGGGGGGGCAGTACCAGGTGCACCTGGTCACGTCAGCCCCTCCTCACCTCTCCCTCCACCCCCACCACAAACTCTTGTCCAGAGCACAGGGAGGCTTCCGCCTGGTTCTCCCTGCTTCCACTCTTGCCCATAGGGCCTGCCCTTCCCTCAAGGAGGGATGTTTTGAAGGTCATATTCCCTGCTTAAAATCTTCAGCACCTCCCCCTGCGCTGAGATTACATGGAGAGCCGTGCCACAGTCACGGGTGGTAAATGAGCCAGCCTCTGGCTCCCTGTCTATCGCCACCGCTTATTATTCTTCCCTTCATTCACCAACTAGACTGAGGTTGCTGTGTTCGTTCAGTATCTACTCTTCTCTTCTTTTGAATACGAAAAGTTGGCTGGATGTAAAGACAGCATGTCTTGGTATCCCTTGCAGGTAAGTGTGGTCACATGACTAAGTCCTGAGCAACTGGACAGGCATGGGAGTGGCACCTACAGCTTCCAGTTAAGTATCCAGTTAAGTAAGGATTCGCTCTTCTCCCCCTAGTCCATTTTCCTGCTGGTTGGTGTGAAGGCTGGAGCTGGTGCAGCCATAGCAGACTATGAGGAAGAGAAGCTAACCATGGCAAAACAAGGAGGAAGAGGTGTGAGCCCCTGTACCGAGGAGTGCCGTGCCGCCTCTGGGGTGTCTGCCTAGACTTTTATGCGGGATGGAAGTAAACATCTATCTTGATTAAAACCATTGTTTTTTGGGCTTGTCGCAGGACCTAATCCTAACTACTATAACTACCTTCTTACCGCTCTAGGCTTTGTTTCTAGGACTCATGAGGCATCTTTCTGCCTCGAGACCCATGCTCGCCGTTTCCTCTGTCTGCAGTGTTCTCCCCCTGGCTTTCCTAATGCTGCACCCTTCTCATGGTCCAGATCTCAGCTCACTGTTGTCTCCTGAGGAGCCCTCCCTGACCGTCTTAGCTGAAGGGACCCCTCTGTCTGAATTCAACATTGTGACACCTTTCTCTTTTAGTCACTTCATCATATTTATGATCGGAAAGTAGACTTAACTGATAATATTCATCTCCTGCCATTAAAATGTAAAGTCCTTGAGAGTAGAATTTGATGTTATCACCGACTTGTACCCGAGAGGGCCTGGCACACGAGCGACGTGGCAGGATGGCTCATTCTCACACGGGAACTCAGAACACAGTTGGGCGTTAAAGGCCGTCTGTATGGGTAGCAATGCTCATAACCTCAGGACATTTAAGCTGCCTAGAGAGGCAGGAGCTGTGCTCGCCCTTAAATCAGTTCTGCACAACTTTCGATAGCATACAAATCACCAGATTAATCCACCCTGACCAAACTCCGCCTCCCAGCTGCCAGACACCAGGCCAGCAGGCGGGGAGAGCCCGAGGTCGTTCTGCAGTCTCGCTGCTCTGAAGAGACAACAATCAGGCTCTGAGAGGCGGGTGAGGCTGGAATCTGAGGGGCAGAGGCCTAAGTCCTAGAGAAGAGGGGGCCCTGGAAATATGAGCGGGATCCCCAACCCTTTGTGGGAGGTGTGTAGGTGCGAGACCCCAGAAGGCTGAGAAAAACTACTGGGAACAAGTTCCATTGCTCACAGGGCCGGGACACGTTCACGGCCCCCAGGCAGAGTGGGAACCTCACAGGGACATACTCAGGAGAGACCTGGAAAGGGCACACGTCAGTGCCAGGGCTGACATATCCTGGGACTGAACATCAAAGATGTTTAAGAAGCCTCAAAGGATCAAGCCGACCTGCCATTTAAGTGCCAAGGCAAAATTCAACTCCTCAAAGAAAGACAACAAAATCCAGGCGTCCAAGTGTAAAATGTACAATGTCCAGATGAAAAAAGATAATTAAATGTGTGAAGGAGCAGTAAAATGTGGCCATAACCAGGAAAAATATTAAGTCAATAAGAAACAAACCCCAAAATGACGGGGGAAGATGGAATTAGAAGAAACAGGCTTTACAACAGCCATTACAAATATGCTCACAAATACACGGGACAAAGCGGGGAGACAGTCATGCCAGAAATGAAGACCAAATGGACAGGCTTAAGAGCAGATTAGACACACGGCAGAAAAGCCATGTGGCCTTGAAGACATGACAGTGGAAACTATCCACACTGAGGCACAGGAATAAAGGCTGGGGGCAGCGGGAGAACAGAGCCTCACTGACCTACAAGACCTCGAGGGATCTATAATCCCTGTAATTTGAGTCCCAGGAAATGAGGGGAGGCAAGAAAAAATACTTGAATAATGGCCAAATTTCTTTACAGATATGATTAAAACTAACATACAGACCAAAGAAGCTGAAGAACCTGCAAGATGGATAAACACAAAGAAAGCCACATCAAAACATAATCAAATGCTGACAGTAGCAACAAAGTCTTGAGAGCAATGATAAGTCACAGAGGGGAGTGAGTGTAAGATACGAACTCCACTGACTTAATGCAAGCTAGAGGATAATACAACATATTTAAAGGGCTTTAAGCAAAAAAAAAAAAGGAAACTGCCATCACCAAAAACAAATACTTTTTTAAAAATTCTAAGTAGGGTTTGTTCAATATTTGTAAAATACATTAAAATGTATCAACTACTTACCAGTGGAAGACTTAGGAATTTTAAATTGACTTGTGGGGGTGGGCACAGCCATTGTCTTGGCGTTTAGGTAAGACTCTCTTCTCATTCTCCCCGCTGCTTCAGGCTGGGAAGAGTGTGACACACGGGAATGCGAGCTCAGCCTCCTGGCTCCCTTCTCTGGACTCGGGGGCTGGATGAGAGGTGCTGTGGTGGGCCTCTGGGCCTGCCCCGGGGTCAGCTCAGCAAGCCCAGCCCACTTGCTCGGCCTGCAGGATGCACCCGCAGAGCCTGCTTGCACACACTGCCCTGGCCTGGCGTATCCCGTCCTGCCTGACTGGCTGGTGTTGGACCGAGGCTGCGACCTGTCCGCAGGAGGGTTTGCAAGTTCACTTGATTTAGCTGGAAGAGGAGACACACAAAATATGGTTATCACTCAACCTTACGTTATTTTTAAATTGTGAAGTTTAACAAATACATGCAAGATAGGCTCTCTTTAGCATATCTGTCCTAAAATGTTTTCAAGTGAAGACAATTATCTATTTCTAACATGATTTTATTCTGTACGTGTTATCAGGCACATTTTTCCAACAAAGAACAACCCAGGTTGCTTGTAGCTTAGTTGAGTGTGTTCTAAGGTACTAATTCTGGACACAATTACCAAAATGTACATAAGTGTATGTAAATTCAGGCTCTCTTATCTTCATTGATTATGTCAGTGCAGAAATCTACTGTAGCTAAGTGGATGGAAGGAGATAGTCTAGTCACATGCCCCACCAATGCGATCAGAGCGGGGAAAGGGACAAGAAGAGGATCATTATTGCTCAGTTCCTTTAAATTACCAGGCCGCTGGGTCATAGCAATCATGAACACTATTTAAAACAGAGTAACAGGCAAACTAGAGTGACAAATACTCAGCTGCCCATATACCCAATATAGAAGTCAATCTGGTAAAAGCGTCTGAAAGAAAACCTTTCAGAGAGTGACTAATGCCACAGCTTGTATAATACAGGATTTAACAGTTTTACATCCTCCCCATATACTCAGGCATCTGACCCTACTGATTCTGCTGGGTGCCACAGAGAAATATATACACAGCACAAATCCCATGAAATTTCTGCCTCAACCTTTACAGAGGTGGAAATGCAGACATAAACAAGAACAGTGCTGATGCCCTGTGCCAATGCAGCAAAACAAACCTCCCAGCTCTAATGTAAAGGGCCTTCCCTTCACCGAACGCCTGCCATGTCTGGAGAGGGCTGGTGTGGGCACTTTACGGAGTTCTTCAATTGCCCGCAGAGGGCTGGCTGCAAGGGAGGCATGGGCCCTTCCCTGTGTAAAGTTGCAGAAACCATTTGAGGTTTCTTAACCACCAACTGGTAGTTAGGATTTCAAGTCAGATCAGTCTGGTTCCAGAGTTCCTACTTTCCACATTTCATGCACAAAGTCTACAGCATGCTGCCTGGACCACAGGACACAGTACAGAGAATCTACACAGCAAATATAATTTGAAGTGTTTAGTCCTAAAAGCAGGAACTCAAAAAAGCCTTTCCCCACAGCCTACCTGGTTTCTTCCCTTTGCCACTAGATGGCACTCTTGGCTACATAAAATTATAGCAGCCAAAATCCAGTTAGGAGTGGGGATTAAAATAAATATCCAGGAATTATAAGGTCCTATGCCCTACATGATCTGGAACCGTCCTATTTCTAAGACCTGTGTCTGATGGCATTCCACATGCTGGTCTCAGCTGCCCTCCATGTTCTCAGGCACCCGGAGCGTACACCCACACCCACTTGGTGGCTCCTTGTACCCCTCAGCTACACCCAGTAGTCCTAGAGGGCTTCTCCTGCCGGGAGCACCTGCAGGACAGGGGCCAGCCCCGTGCACAGCAAGCCCTCCAGGACTTTCTAATGAGCCTTTGCGTTCTGTGAAAATAGTCTCCGAGGGACAGATAGCAGCTGAGACCTCGCCGGGGTGGATGCAGTCTGAGCGTGGCGTGGCTGGGGTCTTGCCTGCTGCTGGAGAGGCGCGCACACCGGGAGCCACAGCCGGGACGGAGTGCGAGGAGGTCGGCTTTCTTGGAATACTGCCAGCACAACCAGGTGGTTTTAACAGAGTTTTCTTCAGCCCCAGCTGAAACAAAATGTCAAAAAAATGGAATTGTCAAAAATTTTATCATTTACCCATTACTTATCTCTGCAAAAATGAGATTTCAAAATAACTTCTAATAATTTAATAAGTACCATCTTGCATTTAAAGAAGAAAAAGATCAAACAGTTCAAAGCACAGCCTCTTTGGCTGCCCATGCAGGGAACACCGGGGGGCGGGCTGAAATGCAGACGGGCCCACCCAGGCCCACCAGGTGCCATGGCTGTGGCACCCAGCTTTGGGCAACTTTAACCAGAACCACCAGTGACTCTTACACACAGCTCAGGGTGACCAACACTGGAGAGTAGACGGCAGAGCCATGGACAGTGGCCCGTGCCTGTGCGGAGCTCCAGTTTTTGACATCCCATCGCATCTGCACGAGGACCCTCTGAGGGGAGCAGGGAGTGTCCGCACCATCGGCGCCCTGACGCTCAGAGGCTGAGTCTCCTCGGCCCGCACAGCTCCCAGCGGAGTGGCCAGCTCCAAACACATGCCAGGCCTGTGTTCCTGGCATTTCCCCAACGTGCCTCTCCGGGATCCTATCTTCAACCTCCTAACCTTGATTTTAATCAAACGACACGTCCCATGTAGGCAAAGCTACCCCAGTCCCTTCGCTCACAGGCCGCAGCCCACCCGCAGCCCTGGCAGACCCACCTTGTTTGGAACAGGGAGTGATCGCTTGCCTTGGACCAAGTGGCTTCCGCTGGCTGGCAAGCTGGCGACATCCTGGGCAGCACTGGGCCTGTCAGGGGGCCTGTCCCTGTGGGACTCCTTTTCATTCAGAGTTTTCATTCTGGAAGGACCAGCTGATACCTCTTTCATAGGCTGAAAATTGTTAATTTGAAACATGAGGACTGTCTAGTTTTTAACGATGCCTAGACACACTCAGTTTTCATTTAGGGCACTGCAGGCTCCATCTATCCTCCCAATGCTATTCACATTCCTCAATTCAACTAGACCGAAGGGAATAGAGCAGCTCCCCTCCTCCACCACGTTACCATGGACAAAATGCCGATGGAGTTTGCTTCCTCATTAAAAAGAGCAAAACGATACCAAGACATTGCATTGACACCAGAGAGACCCCCTAAAGCCGATCCTCAGCCAGGACTCTTATTTAAGGATGATAACAAGGAAACTGGCTGTAGTAACACAACCTTCAAAACACTGTACAGAAAGGAAACACTCATTAAACGGTCTTCCCTTCTACCAGAGAAGCTGCTCGGTTGCAATGAATCTCCTTCTTCTAGTACTGAAAGCCATTTTTCTTTGAACAGCAGAACCAAACAAAGAATAAATTCCTTACATATTTATGGACAAGGGCATTCATGAAGCTAATCCATGTTTATATAAATAACCCCTTATAACAAGGAGAATTATAAGCAATAACTTCCTTTTACCTTCACTTTTTAAATTGTGATATGCCACTGCACAGCATAAATTTCACCTTTTTAAAGTATATACTTCAGTGCTTTGGGTATATTCACTATGTTGCATAACCATTGAAAATGCAATTTTAGAACATTTTTTGTTGCCCCTAAAAGACACCCACACCTTCCCCATTCCCGACTTCCCCAGCTTGCACAGCCACTAATCCACCCCTTGTCTCCATAATTTGCCTGTTACAGTCACTTCATATAAATGGGAGCATATAGTATGTGACCTTTTGTGTCTGGCTTCTTTCACTGGGCCTGTTTTCAGGGTCATCTGACCATTTATCAGTACTACATTTCTTTTTGCCAAAAATATCCCATTGTATGGACAGACCACATTTTATTTATCTACTCATCAGTCAATGGACATCTGAGTTATTTCTGCTTTTTGGTTATTATGAATAAGCTGCCATAAACACTGGTGCATAGGCCTCTCTGTGGACGTTTTCAGTTATCTTGGGTATATAGTGAAGTATGGAATTGCTGGGTCCTATGGTAATTTTATATTTAAACTTTCTGAGGAACTGCCAGACTGCTGCCCACGGTGGCTGCCTGTCTCACATTCCCACCAGCAGAGCACAAGGGCTCTGATCTCTTTGCCAACCTCTTTTCTTGCTTTTTTCTTCCTCCTACAGCCATTCTTGTAGCTGTCTTGAAAGCACATTTCCAAGTTGTGCAATCAAGTGGACCAGCTGTTTCTAGAGGCGACCCTCACGAGGAAGGCATGCCAGTACGTCCTTCCAGAGGGAACGACTTCTCCCACAGAAACAACGTAGGAAGTGGCGCTGGCTTCCCACATGGGCTCAGAGTGCAGCTCAGCCGTACAGCTAACACCTCACTGACCGAAAACCCAGCCCCAGGGCACCAGATTGCTCTCCAGGCCCAGGAAAACAGACGGCCCCAGAACAGCCAAAATCCTACCACAGCCTCTCTGCCCTGACTCCACGTGGCATACATACAAATTACTGCCTGAGTCCACGTGACACCCAAGATTCATGTCACTTTCATTCTAGGAACATCAGTAGAAATCTGTACCCAAACGCTCTCCAGAAAAAGGAGTTTGAATGACTAAAGAACAGCCCAGCTACTTGGGGAACAGCCACATGCCTCCTCAGTTCAGCACTCAGCATGGCAGCTGGGCTTCGGCTTGGTTCGAGTCTGGGCTCTGGGTTTAGAGGAGTGTGGTCCAGATATGCTTGCAGAGGGGATAGAACTTCTGGCCTATTGGTGTGCATTTCACACCAATTGACCTAAACCTGCTACAACCCCTCCCATCCCTCCGTGACTGGCTCAGGGAGCTGAGGCCTGACGGCCGGGCCAGGAGCAGAGCGAGGAAAGGGCACAGGGCAGACCCCAACCTGATGCTCCTGGCCTCTCCTCATAGCTGGGGCTTCTTGCCCTGAGTAAAGCCCCCTCAGGCAAAACCTGGAGGCAGCAGTCTGACACCCCCCTTCTCCTACCCGAGTGCCCTGCCCTGCAAGCTTCTAGGACCCCCAGCTCCCAGAGTTGGGCGACGGCACCCCGGCAGTGTACCTGCCCACTGCCACTTCCCAGGACAGCTCCCCCGATTGACGGCAATCTAAGTCACAGTTAAGGAGAATGACTACTGACTATTCTGAGAGAGGGAATTTGTCAATGCAAATGAAAACCCTAATGAGTGGCCCACTGCTGTAACAAAGGGAAGTATTTCAAATAGAATTCAGGAAGAGGCATTTTAAGTCATCACGATAGTAAGACAGGTGGCCCTGCCCATGTCCCTGTCCACCCCAAGCCCAGCTCTCCAGGCAGTTACTGCTCTCCACAGACTTTGGGTCCCTGTGCCCCAAGCCCTTGGAGCAGCTATGTTTGCAAGGGCCTCCCCTCAACAGCTGCCATTACAGGGCACAAACTGAGGCGGCCAGGAAGCAAGGGCCCGCCCGTTCCCCGGACAAGGGTTCTGGCACGTGGCTTAGTCTACCTTCTCCATGGCCAAGAGAGTGGCTTTTCCTCTCACAGATGACGCTCGGGGTGGCAGCAGTTTGCTGGTGACCCTCTTCTGTGCCACCGCCTGTTTCGCAGGGTAAGCAGTGCCTGGTTCCACCGGCAAAGGACAGCGAGCAGAGTGCGGTGGCCGCGGGGTCGGGGTGGGCCTGGCCCGGGCAGGAGCGCTCCGCAGATCCGCGCCCGAGGCGGGCTGGGCTCCAGGGCGCCGCGGGCCACTCAGGGGGCTGTCGGACAGGGAGTATGTCTCCCTTTTCAGGGACACGGGGCTTTTCCGCATCGCATTTTCTTTTTCAAAGAGGCTTATCTTTAATTTTGACTCCTGTATGAACCTTTCCACACCCTGGCTCCAAGGGGTGTCGGGCCTGGTGGCTGGCGCCGCCTCGCTTTTGCTGTTGCTTTCTATCTGTAAGGCCAACAAGTGAGCTTCTTTATAAACTTCCACAAATTTTTCCCCGGTAAGAGGACTCCAAGAGAAGTGACTTTCTGATGCTGGCACAAGAGGTTCTTTGGGAATCTGACTATTTAATTCTAAGCTCGCAGCAATACATCTTTCTTTATGTCCGATGGGTCCAAAAAAGACTTCGTCATCTTCATTTGCACTATTTTAAAAGAAAAGGATATTAATAACACAGGCATTTAAATAACAGTGGTTATAACCAAAGCAAGGGAAGAAACCTCATTTGTTTACCTTGAAGACGACAGTGAAAGATCGAAGTCAAATTCTTCATCGGCCAGAAGAAGAATGTCTGGGGGGAGAAAGCCTGCCGTTACCGCGGGGCTGGGGCTGCAGAGCGACCACCAGCCGCTACAGCCCTCATGATGAGCTGTCCCCGCCAGGCGTGCCTCACCACTTTATAGTCACAGCTTCATAAACATCCCCCCAAAGCGTGCCTCACTGTTTTATAGTCACATCTTTACAGGGGCTCTGGATAACCTTATTTTGTCCATTTTCTTTTTAAAATAGCATTAGCCATTCAGTGTTTGCTAAGCTGCCCCCAAAGCCTACCTCCTTATTTTAAAGACACAATCTGAAGTGCACTTTCCAAGCCACTCCACCAGTGTTTGAAGACCAGCTAAGGCATTTTCAGATATTGGACATTTTCAAAAGGCCACCTGCCACAGCTCCGCAAAATTAGATTCCCAACCGCAAACTACAGAATGAACACCTATTCTTCTTCCAAAAACAAATTCAGTATTATTCAAATGCACAGCAGGGACTCCATACATATTTGTTGACTGTCACCTCTTCTTGGGGCCCATCTTGAACCCACAGACAAAACTGCGCTTTGGCTTTGTGCCCCATCCTTAGTTTCCGCAAAATGCCTTCACCAGCCAGCTCCCTTCAGAAGCATGCCTCCCTCTAAGCGACCTCGGTCTCGGTTAGTGACCTTCCCTGGGGCAACCGCTCCCGGCTCCCTCCACAGCCCACTCCGCCCCACCCCTCCCTGGCTCCGCAGCAGCGTCTGCATCTGCTCTCCCCGAACACGCAGTGCTGCTCTGTGGATGTCTCTTGACCCTTCGGTGGCCAGAACCACACTGTGAGCCCCCACAGAACAGCAAGTATCTAATACTCTCCCCAGCTCAGCTAGATCGGCCAAGGGTCTGGACACTTAGCAAACATTCATAGAAATGCCCTAAACTGGTATTTCCATATTGTACAGCTTATAGCACTTTCACAAATCATATAGTATTTGATCCTAACAATGTGTCATGCTTACCAAATCATAAAGTCTTAAAATACACTAATAATCTAATAAGGTCCCAATTAGTTCAATTGGTCCTAATTACCTAATCAAGGAAAAGGTAGAAAGCACAAATGCACAAAAGAAATAAAGAGAAATAACCAGAGAGGAAATCAAGATTCATAAAGGTAGTTTGCTCAGTTCTACACATCAACTTAAGAACTTGGCTGAAACATTATTTTCTAGAAAACAGAATTTTTTTTGTATTCAAATTATTTAAATTGATTTATTTATAAAACTGACTCTAGAAGAAAGAAAAAAATCTTAACAGTTTAATTATCATAAAATAACTGGACAAATTTATTAAAGAACTATTCTCCCCTGAAAAAGTACAAGTCCCAGATAGTGTCATAGGATAATTCTATCAGATATTTAAAGAATATATCATTTCACAATTATTAATATTGCTTCAGAGGATAAAAAAAGAAAACTTCCAACTTATTTCTAGGAAGTAAGCATAACATATCAAAAGGAAATAAAGAAAGCTACAGACAAGGCCCATATCAACATAAAAATCCTAAACTGAAATATTAGAAACAGAATCCAGCAATACATTAAAATAAGAAACATCATGACCAGGTGAGGTTAGTTTCAGGACTTCAGGTCTGTAGGTGATTCAATTTCACACCGTTAAGTAACATAATCATTCCATCACTAGACCTAGCGGGAAAACCATGACCTGTCTCCATATCCACTGACAAGTAATATGATAAAACCCAACACACACTGCTGACTTTAAAAGCTCTTCATAAAAAGTTATAGATATAGTTTATCATATAAGGGAAGTCTCCAACTTAGCCCAAATGCCATAGTCTTACTAGGTCTTACGGGATACCCCCAGGAGCATTCCTTCTAAAGTCAGGAACAGATACACCTTCTTGGTTAACTTACACTAAAGTGACAAATAACCCCCAAATCTCAAATGGCTTGTAACAGCAAAGGTGTATTTCTCACTCAAATTCCATGTCTGCTGAAGGTAGGCTACAGCCCTGTTCCACGTCCTCCACGTTCCAGAACCCAGGCTGGTGGAACCTGGTCTTCATGCAGAAGAGGAAATAGCAAATTCCACACTAGTTCTTAAAGACCCAGAAGTGACACTATCACATTCCCATTTCACTGGCCAACTCTCAAGTCACATGAGCCAAGCCCAACTTCAAGTGGGCAGGGAAGTACAATTCTCTCATGTACCTGGGATAAAAATAAAGTAGAAACACTAATGAACGGCACCAAGGAGTACTGTCCATATGTAAATTAAACCCACAAGCCGGCATCATCGAGCTTCATGGAAAACTAAAGAAATTCCAGCAAAGCCAGGCAATGGCAATGACGTCTGCTGTCACCGCAACTCTTAACGTTGTTCTGGATGCATTAAGCAACACAATTAGACAAAGGAAAGAATTTGGAGGGAAAATTATCATGGTGCACAGATGCTATGATTATAGACATAAGAATATCAAATGAAATTATTGTAAGTAGTAAAAGGATAAAAGTTGATGGCTGAGGACAAAATTACACAGCAATCAACAGCTTTCATGCCTAAAGAGAACGGTTAGACGATATAATGGAAGAAGAGACCTCATTTATGGTAGCAGCAAAAAATACCAAATACCTATGAACAAATCTAACAGAAATATGCAAGATGGATACAAAGAAAACTTAGTATTTCATAAAAGCAACATATCAAATAAAAGGGGAAAGTGGATTATCCAATAGACAGTATTGAGATAAACTAGGTAACTGGGGATAAAAAGTATAAAACATTTGATCCATACCTCATACCATACCAGGTCAAATTCCAAGTACATCAGACTTAATTGAAAAAAATGGACAAATGAAATGAACAAGAAGAAACCACAGGGAAATTATTTTATAACCTGAAATGCAGAGGTCTAACTATGACATCAAACTGGAAGCCATAAAATAAAAGACTGATAGTCCATCATATAAAAAGATGTTTAAATTGCTGCATGGCAAAAACCACCATGAGCAAAGTTAAAAGAAACAATAAGCAGGAAAAATAGTATTTTCAGCTCATATCACAAAGGGCTAATTCATGAGTGGTGCCAACAAGTTGGTAAGAAAGCAACTAACAACATAATGGAAGACTAGACAAACGATAGGAATAGATAAAATTCATGGAAAATAAAATGAAATGCCCTTAAATACATGACAAGAAGTTCAGCCTCACTCAAAAATAAGAGTAATGAAAAATAAACTCACGCTGAGATACCGCTTTTCATTCAAAAAGTCTGATAAATCTGGGGAAAGAGACAAATCACACACTGCTGGGGCAGCTCAGTTGAGAGTAAGCTGGCAGGGCCCACCGAGATGAGCGATACTCTGTGATCCAGCAAGTCTACTTCTGTGAATGTATCCTGTAGACATTGACCGTGTCATTTATTGCAGCAGCATTTGTAACAGCAAGATAAAAATAAATTACACTCTTCATATGTTGATATACAAAGAACATCAAGATAAATGAGGCACAGACAACAATATGCGGGACAGGGTTCTATACACTGTATAAAAAGAGGGTGATCAATTGATATACGGACTGGCTTGCACTTGCAAAGATTAGGTCTGGAAGAGCACCCAAGAGACCGGTAACACTGACGGCCCTTGGAGGGGGCAACCGAGTGGCTGGGGGAGCAGCTGGAGGAGGCGGAACCAGATGCTGGAGGGTTTGCAAGCCATGGCAAGGCGTATTTATTTTATCCAAAGGGCAATAGGAAGCTACCCAGGGGTTTTAAGTAGAACACAGTTATGATCTAACTTGTGTTTTTAGGTTACCCTCTCTGCTGTGTACAGTGTATCAGAAGCAAGCAATACCTACTGAAATTATAAACGCACACACTGGCCAAAGGGCAAAACATACAAGTAGGTGGAGGTGAGTTAATGTGGTTGAGACCAAATGCTGGCATTTGGGTGAAGTTGAGAAGAGGTGGATGGAAACCAAAACACATTCTGCAGGTGAAATGACAGTGATCGATGATTGTCTGGATGTGGCAGCTTCACAACTTGGACTGCTGGGCAAATGGAAGGGCAGTGAACTTCCATGAGAGGACAAAAAGCAGGCCAAGAAGGGGTCAGTAGGGGGGCTATGTGGAGTCTGAGGTGCAAGACATTCACACGTAGGTGCAGGTGAATATACAAGTCCAGAGCTCAGAGGAGAGGCTGCACTCCAGACCAATGTGGGCACCACCAGAAAGCAGATGGGGTTTAAAGCTGTGGGGTCTGAGAGCCCCTTGGATGGGGGGAGAACAAAGGGACCCCAGACCAGGTCTTGCAAAGATCGGCTTCAGAAGATGGTAGAGAAGAGGAACCTGCAAAGATGCACCAGCCAGAGGCAGCAAGAAAGCCAAGGACGCCTCAAGGGCAAACAAGGGCATTTCCAGGAGGGAAGGTCAGACATTATCTCGAGGTTGATTAAACAAAGCCAGAAAAACGACAGTAGGTTTGGGGACACAGATGTCATCAGTGACTGACAAAAGCAGCCTGAGCAGAGGGGTGAGAGCAGAGGGGCTGGCAGAGGTTGAGGAATGTGAGAAAACCGCAAAACGGAGAATGTGCTCAATGTCCAGCTCCAAATGAGTCACAGAGCAATGGAGAGGGAGCAGAGCACGTGGGGACAAGTCAGCAGAAGGCAGAACGTGCCTGAATGCCAAGGATGAGACGAGCAAACGGACAGGCACAAAGAAGGCCGCGAAGCAAGGGTGATTCAGGGGCGCAGTCCTCAGGAGAAGCAGTGGGGACTCCACAGGCCTGTGGGAGGGACTGACGTTGGAAAGGGAGGGTACAACAGGAAGGAGAGGGGGGGCAGCGGCAAAGGCCTTTCCCGGCACGACGGAGAAGCCATGCGGGTCGGCAAAGCCTCCAGGATGGTTTCGGCAAAACGGAGGTGTTACACCCGGCCTCCCTCCTGCCATGGGTGTTGTGAGGAACACAGCATGAAAGGCGGGCCACATGAGAGAGCGTGCCCCTTCTCTCGTTTTGTGAGGCTGCACTCTCACCTTGACACTCAACCCAGACAGGGACAGAACAGGACAGGAAAGGCACAGTCCAGGCTCACTAACAGGGTTGCAAACAAGTATTAGCCAACAGAAACTAGCAATAAACAAAAAAAGACAATATAGAATACAATCCCACAAATGGGTGCGTGTCCACTAAGTGCTAGGTGGTGTTCGAGGCGCTGGGGTTACTGCAGCCAATAAAGCCGGTTCCACCTGCTGGGGCAGGACGCCCAGCTGGGGGGGGGGGGGGGGGGTCAAGGGGATGTAGGAAACCGCAAAGAGAGAGGTAGTAAGGACGCAAACTCCTGGAAATTTCACTGGGCTGCCTGAACAAGCGCAGGGCCGTGACGAGGACGTACCATCCTTCCCGCGCACGTCCATCTCCGCTGCTCCTGCCTGGCTGGCTGTGGGCGCGTCGCTGCCGCCTCCCCCTTCCACGCCGAGGGCTGTCCGGGCACTGCGGGGAGGACGGAGCCAGAAGGTGAGCAGGGGCCAGGCCCAGGTCCCCGGGTCCTCCACCCCAGGAAGCCCAGCAGCCGGGGCCGCTGCAGCACCGACAGGGGCAGATGGGGACGGCGGGTGGCCACAGGCCCGGCGATGCGCCCAAGACCCTCCCGACGCACTCAGGCCGCGCGCGCCGGGCAGCGAAATCCCAGCTCTCGAGGAATACTGCTGGGGTCTCTGGCTTGCCCCCCACCCCGGGTCCCCGCGGCGTCAAAAAGTTGCCAAGCATCCACTCACCCGGAGCTGCAGGTCGCGGCCGCCCCGCCTCGGCCCAGTATTTAAATGCCGCGCGGCGCGGCGCCGCGCGACGCGGGCTCCTGATTGGCCGGTTTGAACGGCATCAACGTCGCCTCGCGCGCTGCATCCTGGGGGCTGTAGTCGCGGCGCCCCGGGGAGGGGCGAGGCGCGCGTGCGCACTGCCTCCGCGCGCGGACCGGCTGGCGTGCTGCGGAAGGTCGTTTGGGTCTGCGCGGCGCGGGTCGGCGGGGGTCCTGGACTTCCTCAGAGTCTGCACCGTGTGTGCCCCCGGGCTGGGCAGCAGGGCAGCTGCGTGTGGCAGGGACTTGGTTCTGATCCCAGCTCTTTGTCTGTAAATGGAGAAAATTAAATTCCTACCTTAGAGTGTTGATGACAAGACCAAACGAAATAGGTGCGTCTGCCTGCTTTCGAGGCAGTACGCGTCGGTTACTGATCGCCGCAGTGGGACGGGACCCCGCTCCGAGGAGCGCACGGGCGGCCCTGGGTGGCCGCACGCCGGTTTGTGCCCCCGAACCCGGAGCGGTTGTCTGGCGGCGGGGGTGGGAGTGGGGGGCAGCGGTGAGGGCCTGAGTGGGCAGAGGGTGTGGCGGGAGCCGGCCCTGGGCTTTGTAGCCGGCTGGCGGGGCGTCGGGGTGGGCGTTCGTCCTTGGGCCAAGGGCGCAGATTGGAGAGGTGCGCCTCCAGGCAGGGCCCAGTGGCCAGGTAATGGAGTCTGACTGGGGGGCGCACACGGAGCAGACATGATGCCAGATCTGAGCTCCCCCGCGTGTTGGTGCCCGTACAGAGGCAGCCTGAGATTGACCTCACCTGAACCCTGGCCTGTGAACCCACCTCATGGGCTTGAGGACCAAATGAAGTGCTCCGCCAGGGCACAGTCATGAAGCTGTTGCTCTAGTTGTCTGGAGCTGATGGGCGAGGCAGGGTGTAGCGGGGAGGAGCCGGGCGAGAGTCACAGGGACTGCCTGGGAAGGGCCCAGCCCTGGAGGGAGAGCACCATTTTCAGGAGGATGGTGAAATATTTATTTGGGGCAGGTTGGGTGGAGAGCTGTTCAGAGGGGAGCCATCAGGGTCTAGGACCTCTGCCAAGAAGCCTTCCAGACTGGCTGGGGCCACCTCTGGGCTCCGTGTCCCTGGCTTCACACCAATCACCCCATGTGGCTGTGGCTCCTCTTCATGTCTGACCTCGTGTCCAGCCCCACGTGAGGCTGAGCTTCTTGAGGGCAGGGCAGGCTCTCAGTCGACACTGTCCCCCAGCCTCACCCAGCCCAGCACTGGGCACCAGGCAGGAGCTCAGGGTGTGGGAGCTGGGCAGGGGCGTGGGGAGTCCCAGCAGCTTGAAAGGAGCGTGGCCTGCCCTCTGCACCCTCCTTTGGCTTGTCCTGGCATTGCTGACACCTCTTTTCTACCTAGGGTCTCTCTCCACAGCCTTCCGCCTCCCTCTTCACCCCCACTGCACTCTGAAGTGCTGGGTCCCTGGACCCTGCCTTTTCCAGCTCAGCCTTTGTGGGCTCCCTTCTGAGTTTTGTCATCTTTTGCTCAGGTTCCTGCCTAACTGGAGGAGAGTGACGGCATCCGATAGACCCCAAGTGCATATCCCATCTCGGGTATCAGAAGAACCTCCGGTTTGCAAGTAGCAGAAAAGCAGCTTTAGAAAGAGGAGAATTTATTGGCTCAAGGAATAGGGAAGTCCAGGAGTGGCCGTGGCTTCAGGCCTGGATAGTGACGGGCTTGAGGGAGGGCGCTGGGCCAGGTGGTCTGCCAGCCGCCTCTCCAGGGTCCTGCACACCCTCAGGCAGCCTGGCCTTGTGGGGCCCACCAGTCTCGGAGCCCCAGGCTCCCTTCCTCCTGAAGGCAGTGGCTGCTTTGGCCCTGCCTGGGCTCAATCCCCGGTCCCAAGGCCCAGGCCTGACTCATGACCGTGCAACTGCAGCAGGAGTCCAGCGTGTCAGGTGGTCCAGGTGTCAGATCCCCACAGCCCCCGGGACGTCTGCTCAGAGTGAGGGTCCCCAACACCCACTCCTGTTGCCCCTCTCCCCAAAGTGTCAGCACATAGTAGGCGCTCAGTAGCTCTGAACGACATCTTCCTTCTCTCTGCTTGGCCTTCCCACTGTAGGTTCATTGCTTCCTACCCCCGGCGGATTCTGCTTCACCTATTTTTGCATTCATTCATGGGTTCACTCACCAACATTTACTGACAAGTGCTCAGTGTGGGCCCTGTGCTGGTGATGCTGGGACACAGATGCTGTCCCTGACCCAAGGAGGTCACAGCTGGGAGGAAAGGTACAATAGCAAGGGCAAATGCCAAGGGCTGTGGGACAGAGGAGGCACCCCCAACGCCCTGCAGACAGGGAGTGGGAGGCATCCCAGAGGAGGTGCAGGGTTCCTGCTTCCCTGGCTAAGTTTTATCTTGCTTGGAACAGGAGAGGGGAGGGCAGGTGGGGTGTGAGCAGGCTCTGCTGGGAACTGGCAGGAAAGGACAGGTCAGGATGGGAGGGCAGGCCCCCCTCAGGATATGTCCTTAGCCCCTGGGTAAAGACAGCGCCTTCTCAAAGTCCTATTGTAATTACCTATTTTCTCGACTTACTGTCCCACCTCCATCCCAAATTCAAGGAGAAGCTGTTCTCCCCAGGACCCAGACCAGCCTGGCATGTGGAAGATGCTCAAATATCCCTGCCCAGCAACAGTTAGTCAAAGGAATGAATTAACTAATTTATTTTAATCCCAGGAATTTGCTTAATCAATTTGGAGTCTTCCCCACCTCCCAGCACCGAAGAGTCCCTGCCTAATTTCAGTATGCACAGAAGAACCCTGAGAAATATCTGTGGGCTGAGACGGCCCTCGCACTCACACAGCACATGCTACTGAAACGTGCGGCTCACTCGGGAGGGATGTGAGGCCAGGACAATGAGGCAGCAGTTTATAAAACTGGCTCAGATCTTGTTAAAGCCACTCGTCACAATGCTTTTTTTGGCCACAACAGGGCAACCCCTGAGCTGAACCCCTACTACCCAGAAAGCCCACCAGCTCAGTGTACATGCATTTGTATCATTAAAGTCACAGCTGACAAAGGACGCCATGTATGTGAGGTCCCTTCACAGTGTGCAGTTCAGGAGAGAGAAAACAAGCCCGAATCAGTGTCAGGAAAGCCCCCAGGAAGCTCACAGACTTCTCCCCGATGGCAGGGTCACCCCATGTGCCGCTCCTGTGAAGAGGACAGTGGGGGCAGCCGTGGGGGGCTGGGACCACAGACGGCAAGGGGGGGCTCCTTCTCCTGGGAAGGACAGGTGGCTGAGGTAAATCTCAGTGAGGACTCTGCCAGCTGTGACCCTGGGCAAGTCACCTCCGCCATGGATACCCTCACCCAAAAGGTAGGACAAAGAACCTGTGTAGCATGTGATAAAGAGATGAAATGACAGGGTTGGTCCCAGGGTGTCCTGGGGGCAGGGGTGTCCCCCGAGGGCTGTGTGGAGAAGCCTCCTCCGCGAACTAACCCCACACCCCCCTTCCAATCTCTGGACACTGGGGTGTAAGAGCTCCCTGGGAACATCGGTGTGCAAAGCAAGTGGTAGCAGCTCCCACATCAGCTGACTGCTTAAAACTGCACCTTGGCCCTTAAGGATTAGAAGAGGATTCTGAATCATATTTAAAGCTGATATGTGTCCCTTATTCCTGTAACTCTCTGCTTAAAGCTGCAGATTGCCCTCAATAGGCACAACAAGCAGACCACAGCTGTTTCTAAACCTGCAAAGTGGAGCCAGCCAGCAGCAGCTCTCTGCTGAGTGGCCAGGCCTGCTCACTGTAGGAGGTGGACGGCAGCTGCCTTTCGGATGAGCCTCGAGGTCAGGGGTGAGTTGGGTTTCAAGGCATCGCGCTCTATCAGAAGGCTCCTGCAGAAGAAGAGACAGGGTATGTTGAAACTCCTGTAAGGATCTGGGGGCCTGGACCCAAGGCAGGATACGAGCGGCTCGTGCCCCAGCTAAAGTGGGCAGCAAGCAAGACACGCCCGCTCCCAGGTTGCTGGAGAGCAGGGAGGAATCACTGCAGAGGGGACAGGATGGACCACAGCCCAGAGGCAGGAGGTCTGCCATGGAGCATGCTGGGCAGGGAGGTCTGAGGGGAAGAAAGCCTGGACCCGCAGCCCAGTGTTCCAGAGCAATGTGCCCTGCCTCGTGGCAGCTGTATGTGTATTTCTATAATTAATTGCTTAGTGTCAGTCCCCACATGGGAGATTCCATGCAGCCAGGGCCTGGGTCTGCCTGCCCACCACTGCTTCAGCTCCCAGCACGGTCAGAGTGTAGGATGTGAGCCGAGGCCTGAAGAATCGGCAGGTGCAGCCCACTGGAAAAGGAGAAAGGGGGTCCCAGGCACAGGGTGCAGCACATGCAAAGGCCCAGGGGCCTGAAAGAGCAGGACATATTTGGGTAGCTGGTTCGGCACGGCTAGGAAGAGGAGAGAAACTGAGAGCCTCGTGGCCTCGAATCTTTACGCCCTCAAAGGCAGGAGCCACCTCAGGCCAAGGGAGGTGGGAGCCTCTGGGCACATGGGAGCCCAGGGGGAGGCCCCTGTGAGCAGCTATGGCTAAGGACCTTCCCGAGCTTAGTTCTGGGACATGAACAAGCAACTCACTGGGCGAGGCTCCTGTGGGTGCTGGAGGGGCAGCTTAAAGCGGCGTGAATCAGCAGCTGGTTGAAGACATCTCTCTGAAAGGTCAGTGGGCAAGTCAGGCTCCCGTAGGTGGGATGAGGGATGGCAGCCCCCACCCCACGGCATGCCAGCCTGCTCTCAGCATACTGGGGGATGTGAGAGATAAGGACCCTCAAATGCCCTGGACACCAGCACCTTGCAGAGACTGGGCCCAGGCCCTCGAGCTCCAGCTCCAGATGTGGCCCAGAGGCTCACCTGGGCTCTGCTGCCTCCGATTTGGACGATCTGGTAGCGGATTGGCAGGAGCAGTTCCACGACGCGGTTGGGGTTTCCACTCTCAGCCTCCACCAGGGCCCGGCACAGGGGCAGCCCCACGTCTTGGGCCAGGAGGTGCTGACAGTTGTCCCCTGGGGACCTGCCAGCCCAAGAAGGTGCCCTCAGTGGCCTGCAGGAGGCCTTGCCCTGGCCCTGTCATGGCATGTCTTCCTCAACTCAGTGTCCCTGGCACTGTGCCTGATACACAGTAGGTGCTCTGACCAGGTGAGCAGACAGACAGGCAGCCAGGGAGGGGAGAGAAGGGGGCTCTAAACTCAGTTCCCCTGGGTTGAACTCTGCTGCTCACTAGCAACCTGGCCTGGGTTTGCTCATCTGTGCTACATTGAGTGCCAACACTGACTATGCAGGGCCTCAGGACCGTGGGCAACGCTGGTGGAAACCTGGCCTGGAATTGTCACTGACTTTGGGGGCCAGGGGCAGCTCAGCCCATGGTCCCAGCCGACACTCAGGGGGTAGCTGACTGTGGTGATAGACACCCTCTGCCAGGTCCCAGGACAAACCACCAGTGGTCATGGCTCCTGCAGCTGACACTACAGGTGGGCGGTGAAGCCAGGCTGTGGAGGACCCCACCGCGCTGGACTTGCGCCAGCCCCCTGTGGTTGAAACCGGCTGCCACCAGGGCCAGAACAGCACCAGGGAGGTGTGTCGCTCTGTCATGGCACCTCACTCTCCCAGTGGCTTGCTCAGCAGGTGCTGTCCCTGGCTCGCGGATGGGGACCCAGGCTCAGAGTGGAGGAGCACTTGTCCAGGATCCCTGATCCTGGTCTCTCTGCTTCCAGGGCCTCATCCTGACCCTGGGGGCAGCTGTGCCCATGACCGGAGGCTCTCACACCTGCCCGGGGGATGGGGAGGTAGCTCTGTGTCCTGTGGGAAATGGCTGTACATGTCAGGGGCTGCATGCCTGTGGGACACACACCTCCATGGGCAACTGCACTCTCCAGCGGCCTCCACCCCAGCCTCCCTGGCGGGCATGGGGAGGCACTGAGCAGACCCCAGCATGACCCGAGCACCTGTCACCCTCTCAGCAGGGTGAGGCCAACCCCACCCGGTGACAGGGTCTTTGAGGACCCTGGCCCTCTGCATACTCGCTGGCATCCTGTAGCGTGGCCAGCAGCTCCTCCGTGGTCCGGGGGTCCCGAGCGCCCAGGGATGCCATCAGGAAGTGCATGTCATTGAACAGCAGTATGTGGTCACGGCTGTGCTTCTGGGCCATGGGCAGGAGGTCCTGCCACCGCTCACCCACAGACACTCCTGAGGACACAGGGGGAGGAGCCCCAGAGGCCTGGTGGGAGCGCAGTCTGGGCACGAGCCTCCTGCACCCACTCACCCCTGGGGACCCTACAATGCTGTGCAGGTGGAAGCCTGGCAGGTGAGCAGGGCTGGCAAGTGGCGTGTGGCTCATACTGAGGCCTTTGGGCCCAGTTCATGTTAAGTTCATTTAATTACAAAAGCAATAAATGGATAAGGTAGAAAATAAATTTTAAAAGCTATTGAAGGGTATGAAATGAAGTCTCTGGCTCCTTTGACAAACCCCAAAGCCACTTCTAAATTCTCCCCCCGATTGTCACTGGAATGGCACCTGGTATATAACAGGTGCTCAAGAAAAATCTGCCTAATTAATAAAGAGCGTCCTCTACCTGTGTGTCCAGATGCTCAGCTCTGGACGGTCCCTGCCTGTGCTCCCTCTTCCGCGCCACCTCCCATCTCCTGTCCCCCAATTCCTAGAAGTTACCAATTCTTCCTACTTCTCCTTAGGGGTACCTCCCTAAACAGAGCTGTCGCCCTTGACCTCTGCCTCTCAGCCCATCAAATCAGATACAGCTCGGAAGTCTCCACTCTGTGTGGTGAGGGCAGCAAGTGGCTTTTCTCTTCTCCCCCCGTCCCGGCACCCCCAGCGTGCTTCCCAGCCTCTCCTCACATGGGCCCTGGGGCTTGAGGCCCCGGGCTCCCTGGAGAGTTCCAGGTGGTTCCAAGCTCTGACTCTGCAGGTGGAGGGTCAGCAGGATTCACCCTCCCCAGCCCCCTCCCCTCTCTACCCGGTTCTGGATGGTTAGCTGGACACGAGCCACAGGCCTCCTCCAGCCCAGCTTTGGTTTTGCTGCTCTCCCCCTGAACATCGATGAGCAGCAGCAGGCTCTTCACCAATCCCCTGGCCTCTGTCCTCAGCCCCACTGCTCACAGGGGTCTCTCAGAGGCAGCTGGGAGCCTCCCCGGCTTGGCCCTAGCAGGCTCCGTGCAGACTGGGAGAAAAACCAAACCCCTCACCCTGCGCTCCCCATGTGGGCTCCTGGCTCCCCGGCCTCTTGGCCTCCTCTGCTCTGTCTCACTGCACTGACCCAAACTTCCAGTGGCTCATCCCATACCAGGCTGCTTGTTTCTGTGTGCCGGGGGCTTAGGACACCCTTTCCCATCTCTGCCTGGCAGAACCTTATACATCTGCCCTTGGATTCACATTTCACCTCCACTAGGAAGCCTTCCCAGGATGCAAGGGAAACAGCTCACCCTGCCTGGGCCTCATCCCCACCCTGGCCTGCTGACCCAGAACCTAGAGAGGGTACAGGTTTGGGTCGGTTCACTGGGCCTGGGAGAGAGGGGAGAATAATCTGGTACCCCCAGAAGTTGCCTAGAAGCCCTCCACCACCCCACAGCTGTGGCCAACCCTATCCAGGCTATGTGCAGAGCACGGAGTGTTCAGGTTGAGAAACCTCTCTCAACACCGGGGACTTGAGAAGCTCTTACCTCCCTTGTTCTATGAAAGGAAGCAGCACCCACAGAGAGGTAGCCTGGTGCCATCTGTGCCCACAGGCCTGAAAGGCAGGCTGTGGGACTGGCAGGCACCCCCCTGGGCGTGGAGTCTGAGACCTGCACCAAGGGGTGGGGGGACTGGGAAAGGGCAGTGGTGGCCCGGGCCCTCTGGTCCCAGGCCAGCTGGGAGGCAGCTGCAGAACTGGGACCAGGCTCTGGCCAGGCATACTGTCCCAAGGCTTGCAGCAGAACCCTGGGTAGTTGGGTAATGGCTTCCTGCCTGGCCCTGGGCCCAGAAGGTGGTGGGGAGCCCTCCATCCCCCCAGAGCTGCCGCCACCTTCCATCTGCAGCCGGTACAGCATGGAGCAGCTATCCACCATGTCCAGCATGGCCCCGCTGGCCTGCAAGCTGGGGAGAATCTGGAAGACAAGGGTGGTGGGGCATGAGGGGCCACAGGCATGGGCAGAACACACCTGGTAGGGCCGTGTGTGGGGCTGACACAGAGCCAGCCCTTGGCACACGGAAGCCACCACCACAGTCCCCTCCACCTCAACCATTGGGACTCTGCCCCTCACCAAGGGCTTGCACCACAGGCAGCCCTGAAACAAAGAGGCAGAGGGAAGGGCCCACCGCACTGCCTTTTCCTCCTGCCACCCCCCAAGCCTTGGGCCACGCTGGTGGGAGGCTGTCTTATCCGTTCCTAGCGCCAGACTCAGCTGACCTGAACCTCATAGCGCACGATTCATCGTCATCCACATTTTACCAGAAATCCTGGCCACTCGGAAGGAGGACTTCCAGGAAACTTCCTGTTTCCCTCTGGGATTTACGTCCCCAAACCACCAGCATGTCGGTGGCCCCAGGCTTCTGTTATTAAGTGCTCACAGGGGTTCCCAGGAGCTGTGACTTAGGCTTTCACTCTTAAAAGCAGACCTAGGGTCTACAGGGAGGGGCCTGGGGAACACTGTTTGGTGGGCATGGAGTTTCGGTTTGGGAAGATGAAAAAGTTCAGAGACGATGGTGGTGGCAGGCACACAACAGTGTGAATGTGCTTGATACCACTGAACTGAATACCCAAAAATGGCTAAAATGGTAAATTTTATGTCATGTGTATTCTGCTATAATACAAAAAGATTCCTATGGGCCAGATCAATGATTTTACCAAAGGGAAGCAAAAATCTAAAGTGACTGGAGAGAAGTTGGAGAGTTCAGAGATGACCAGCTTAGATGCAGAATTCTGCTGAGGCCCACGGGGTGAACTGAGTCAGCCGGATGCCTTCACCCCATTTGGGGTCACAGCATGACTCCGGGCAAAAACTAACTCCATGGGGTTTTACACAGGAAGTGTGTTCTTGCTCCAGCTGTTGTTTCTGGCTGGGACAGAGCTGACAGACTCACAGATGTGGTAAAACTATAAGGCACGCTGCTGCAAGTAACCAACCTGAGTGCAAGCAAGGACTTACGTGGTCGTCGTAAAGGGTGAGCGCAGCCTCATACTCGCCCTGGGAAAACAAAGTTCCCACAGTCAGCATGTGGGGGAGGCAGAGGGTACCAGGGACAACTGCACAGAGGGCGGCCACGCCGGAGCCCGCCCCCAGCCCAGTCCAGAGGGGCACAGGCAGCCAGGAGGGGCTCGGGGTGGAGCACAGGCCCACTTCTTGGCTCCCCTGAGCAGCAGAGACAGTTTCTGTGAGGGCGTTCTTTCCCTAGGAAGTGCGCAGCGAACTGTGGCAAGCTTTGCCATGAATTCTTCTAATCTTTTCTTCTCTCTCCATTTTCCTTACTGTACGGTCAGTTGGGTTCATTGCTTTCTTCTAAACACTGGGTATCACTGTGTCCTCATCTTCCCAGCATTTCTCTCTGGACAGTTAGGGGGTATTTACATCATCTCTATGACAGACAAGACTGCATGAAGCACCCTTATCAACGGGACCCAGTGGCGCAGTTCCTGGGGCCAAGGGTGTTCCCCACGCCCTCACTGTGGCCTGGGGGGTGGGTGCTCGGCAGTTCACTCCCGCAGCACAGACACTCAGTCTAAATTATTTCCACAAACTGCACACAATGTAATGTATAATATCATACAACTTGATTTCCAAGTCCAGACAGTGAAAAATGCCTAAAATAGTTTAAGCCTGAAAAGCTATTTGAAGACATTGATGCTGTATTGCATCAGGACACAATTCAAATGTGCAAACACGAGATATCAGTCTGTGGGACATAAAGTATAGAGAAAGGTAGAAAAATATTTCATTCTCTGGACATGGTCACAGGATGACAGCCTCCATCTTACCTTTTCTATCAGATATAAAGCCCAGTGCCAATAGTTATGACAAGCCAGCATATCAGAGTCCTGAGGAAAGAAGAAGAGAATCAGACAAAAATTTGACAGCCTGTGGTAAGGTCTTGGGCACCAGCTCGGAGGTCCGCCTGGCCAGGCATGTCCTCGCCGTCATCTCCTTCTGCTACAGGAGATGGCAAATAGTCCACCAGAATTCCTGGAGGGGACTGGGGCTGGGAAGCCCCAAAGCTAAGAAAGGGGACGAGCAGGGCCAGCAGAGAGGTCACTCACTCTCAAACCTTGTCTTCCTTCTGTGTGGAGTGGAGAAAATGAATGAAAAATCCACCCCCAGACAGTTGTGTCCAAATAGCACAGGGCACCCCAGTAAAGCCATGAAGATCACTGTGCCCCCACAGGACTGGCAAAGTTCACAAAACAGGTGCAGGGCTGACATAGCAGCAGCTACTGCTGACACACTCTAGTCCCACCAGGAAGGCTGGCCCTCCTTCTGTGAGGCTGCTGCACACGTTATCCTGCCTGATGCCACCTGACGTCTGCAGGAAAGAGCAACTGGTAAAGCCTCCTCTGTGGCCATGTCTTCCTTACACCTGTGCTTGAGAACACCAAGCTGCCTGGCTCCCTCTCCCTCACAGGCCATGGTAGGCCTTGGTGTCTTGGCTCAAGCTGTTCCTTAGAAGCCCTCCATCTCCTTGGTCTTTGCTCGGAAAACTCCTACTCACCCTTCAATACTCAGCTCAGGGGGTTGCTTCCTCCAGGAAGCCTTCCCTGACCGCTTCCCCTCAAGCCCAGATGGTTGGGATGCTTCCTCTGGGTTTTCATATCCCCGAGTGCCCCTGTCATGGTGTGGGTCATGTGCTGCTGGGAAGCTGCTCACTCCACTGGGCCAGTGGTAAAGGCCTTTGGAGGATACAGAAGACTGGGCTGGACTCTCAGTGGGGTCTCCAGGGCAGGGCACAGCCTAGAGCAGTAACTTGGCTGAGCTCTAGGCTGGCAGCCAAATGCCTGGGGCAGGTACAGGAGGAAGAGGAAAAAGAGCCCTAGCCACGCCGTCTACCCCAGGGCTGTTCTGCCAGGCAAGAGGCTGCCAGGGGCTACAGTGGGGGACAGGTGCTGACATCAGGGGACAAGAGCCCCCTGGGAGGTGACCCCATGAGCCTGGGCTGCCTCATTTTAAACGTGTTTGGAAACAAAACCATTGGGAACTCGTTGGGGCCAAGAGCTTCCCAGTGGTCACAAGAACAGGTGTACAAAAGAAACTAAGGCGCAGGAGGGTTGTGTTCTTGACGCAGGGTAGAGTCAGGCCTCCAGCACCAGGCCCGGTGGAATGGCAGGGTCTGAGGGAGGGATGTGAACAGAATGTGCTTGAAGGCCCTGGCCAGCCTCCCAGGCTCCCCCCAGTTCTGCCTGGGCAAGTCCCTGGTCTTCAGCCAGGAGGCATGGCCACATGGCTGCACCCGTCTCACCGCAGATTCAGTGCTCCTGGGAAAAGCAGCCCGAGGCAGGGCCCCACCCCACAGACCCCCACCTCCACTGGTGCCTCTTCCGTGCCCCGTGTTTGGGGGTCTCAGAAAGACCTGAGTATGCACCTCATGAGATTACAGTTCTCATCTATTATTTCACACCCGCTCACCTGCTCCACCTATTTCATGCCACTGCCAGGGAAGCCAGGAGCCTGCCTCCTTGGAAGGAGACTTGCACTGGACTGTGCCAGGCCAGGGAACTGCTTGGACAAGCGACCGCTCTGCTTCCCTGCTCCCCGCCCAGTTCCTGGTCTCTCCTTGGCTCGCTTCATCACTGAATCCCTGCTGCTTGGTGCCAGGCCCTGGCAGACTGGCCACAAGGGCCCAACCCCCACTTGCCAGCCCTGCAGACTCACGGCTGTGCCATCATCCCCGCCCCCCTCCCCCCCCGGCCGCCAGCTGCACCAGGTGCTCCAGGAGTGCCCTCCTCGGTCCCGCACAGAGCCTGCTGGCCTGTGCTGACGAGGGGGCAGCTGAGGGCCCTCCCAGGCCCCACCCATGCCAGGCTCTTGTTTCCCCGATAATTCATGATCCGTTCCTTTAATGCTAAACATCTCAAGCCCAATTCTAGAGCCACCTACAAAACACTGGCTGGTGTTCAGGGGTTTGCGGCTCCCAGAGGCACTGTGGCTCCCCAGAAACTCCTCCAAGTAGGACATGAGTTTCCCTAGAACTAAGCTGCACCATGTAACTTCGGTCCATAAAGCCTCAGCTTAACTTGAGGGGACGGATAGAATTTTCCAGGCAGATGACCCCGCGGCAGGAGCCGTACCTTCCAGTGGGCTTCTGAGCGCTGCATGAAGTCCAGTCCATCCTTGATCTCTGCCTTCATCTCGTGGACGTGGGCAATGGTGTGCACTGACCACGCATCCGCTGGGTCAACAGATAAAGCCTACACAGGGAGGGCGGAAGGCGGTTGGGATAATAAGCGTCAGTCAGGCTGCCCGACGACGAGGCATCTCGGGGTTATACAGGAGCACAAAGGGCCTTGGGCTCTGCCTCCAGGTCACAGTGACCCCAAAGACCAGCCCGACTGACCGTCCACCTGCCGCTAGTGAGGGTATCACTGCCCATTTCACAGACCAGGAAACAGCTCAGGAGGCTTTGTGACATGCTGCGAACTGCACAACTGCAGCTTTCCAGAGCCACGGCTTGTCCCCCGGCCCCACAGCCTCCTGCATAAAGGGGAGTGGCCTGCAATGTGCCAAGCAGCCCGTGTGGGCCTGCTTCCCCCAGCGAGAGGTGATGACACTGGCCTCTCAGAGCTGCTGCGGGTTGAAGAGGACGCTGTGTGTGAACACTGTGCTGACTGTCAGGCGCCCCAGGGGCCCGTGGCTGCCCCTCCCGCTAACACACACGTGATAACCACACGTGTGGCTTTCCAGGCTTGCTCTGACATCATACTATTAACAATAGTGGCTGCTCGCGTGACAGGTGAGCTGGACAGACCAGTGAGGCAGGCTGGCACAAGGTCTGAGGCTCACACCGCAGCAGCACTGGTCTTCTAGTCGTGGGTCCAGCTCACAGTTACCGAGTGCCAGGCACGTGGCAGTGAGCTGCGGCCCCCGGGGCTCCTGTGGACAATCACACGAGCCTGGGTCCCTGACCAGATCACTGTTTCCCCAGCCCCGCTGCCTCCATCCCCACGCCTTTCATAGAGGCAGGGTTGGGAAGGCCCGTACACATCTGGCCCTGGCCTGGCACCTGGGGTCCATGCTGACAGGTGATGCCCCCAGCTCCAGCCCCCTGTTTGCATGGGCCCTGACCAGTCCACATGGGGACACTGTAAGAAAGAGTATGTCTGTAGGAACGATGGGCACCCAGGGCAGAGCCCTGCAGACCAGCACACTTCAGGAGATGACAGGAGCGTAGCCGAGCAGGCTGGGGGTGGGGGCCCTGTGCAGGGACCCACTGAGCATGCTGTTCTCATGCACAGGGGCTCAGGGCTGCAGCTCGGTGGCAGGGCAGTGGGCCAGCTCTCGTCTCCCTGCCAAGATTAAGGCCCTGCCCCCTCTTAGGATTATGACCAGCTTCCTCTCAAGGCTCCCTGGAACAGAGTCCAAATTGCCTCTGGATCCACAGGGCATAGGATCCGGCCTTGCTGGCACTGCCAGCCTTTGCTCCCAGAGCCTGCCCCACCCACCGCCGCCCTAAGCCTTGGCCTACCAGGCCTACCAAGTGCTCCACCCCCTGGGCTGAGGCTGTGCTTGGCTGCCCCCTTCCCCCACTTTCTGCCGTTGGGGTTAGGCTTGCAGACACCAGGCCTATGCACTGCCATCATGAGATCTCTCCAGACTCCAGCAGAGGCTGGTGCAGCCCGCCCGCACTCTCCTAGGAGCCTGGTGGCCATCATCCCGGCCTGGCCTCGCATAGGAATCACCTGCGGTGTGCTGGCATTGAGCTCAGAGTGCGCGCACCTGCAGGACGGGGCATGAGAGCAGCAGAGGGGGGACCCTGTTCCACCACTGCCTCCTGCTGGGGTGTGGGCCTGACTTTTGGTTGCCTTCTGGTTTCTTGAACCATCCTGCTAGCCTTCAGGTGCCCTGATGGGTGCCACCCAACAGGGGACCCAGCTCCTTGGCCTCCAGGGGACCTTCTTGTGGCCACCCTGCTGGATGGCGGTACCTGGTCACCCAAGCTATGGAGCCAAGATTGCTGTGAAGACCCCAGGTCCCACCAGCCCCTGACTCATGGCTGTTACCCCCTCATGAGTGAAGGCCCTTCCCTGGGCCTCAGTTTCCTCCTGCAAGAAGAGGAACTGGACGACAGGGACTCCGAGAAGTGGAGGACAGTGCACACCAGGGGCCTGACCTCCGCTGCCTACTGCTTGGCCCTGGGACCCTGTTGAGGGGTGTCCACCACATGCCTGGGTACCAGTTGGCACAGAGGGAGGGGCCTTAGTTGGAGAGAAGGGCTCAGCAATGCCTCACTGCTCTGCACCCTTCACCACTGTTCCCTCCAGATGGGCAGAGGTCCAGGGAAGGGCTAGCACAGACCCCCACCCACCCGGGAACAGCCTTTGTTTGCAATTATCACTCAACTCCTGGAAGCTTGGCGGTGGTAGTGACACTTAGAAACGTGAGGTTTGGGGTGGGAGAACCAACATTTATATGTGCTCCCCCCATGTACTCTGGTTCCTGCAGAGCCACTGGGCTCTGGGACGGACAGGCCTGGGGGAGCTCAGAGCTGCTGTTCTATGTGACCCCAAGTGAGAGAGGTGAACATGACCTACCCGGGCCTTGTCATCTTCTGGGCCTGCAGAGGGAGTCCGCCGAGTAACGGCTCTGCAGGCCATGGGGGGCCCGGATGGCAGCAGCTGTTCCCTGTCACCACGAGCCCTTCCCAGCATCTCCAAGGAAACAAGGTGCAGAGTGGGGGCCTTGCCCGAGTCACTCATGAGAGGTGGCCCCCATGTGCTCTGCCACCTGAGGGTTGGCACCTCGGAAAGGGCCACGTACCTCTTTGGCCATCTTTTCTGCCTGATCATAGAAGTTGGTTTCCATCAATCCAAAAGAATAGATGCCCTTCACATAGCTAAAAACAGAGGAAAAAGATCTTAAGTGGACTGGGACTGTTCAACTCTCACCACGAACTCTATGAGTTGAACTGTGTCCCCCAAAATGAGATGTGTGAATATATGCCCTAATTCGGAGCTAGGGTGTCAGCAGGTGAGATCAAGCTGAAGTGAGGTCACCCCGGATTGGGGTGGCCCTAACCCCACTGATGGGTGTCCTTAGAAGAGAAGAGCGGGGGAGGTTTGGACAGAGACACAGACACACACAGAGGGCGCCACATGGAGACAGCAGCAAGGTCGGAGTGAGGCAGTTCCAAGCTAAGGATGCCAAGGATGGCCGGCAGCCAGAGGCTGAGGAGAGGCACGGAAGGACCTGCCCCAAGAGCCTCAGAGGGCGCGCAGCCCTGCTGACACTTCTGACATCTGGGCCTCCAGACAGTGAGAGGATGGATTTCTATTGTTTTAAGCCACTGGCTTCGTCGCACTTTGCTACCGCAGCCCTAGGAGACTGTGTAACACACCCCGCCAGGAGCTGGCCCCTGCCGATACCTCGCCAGGTACTGCATCTCCCAGCAAGTCAATGCTTCTGACTGGTGAGGAGTAGTGTGACCTTCTCCATTTGCACAATCAGTCAAGCTCCCAACCCTGTCCCCACCTCCTCTTATACATCAATGCAGCATCTCCATTGAGGGTGACAGGGGCCCTCTCCACCTCTCTCCTGTCTGCCTGGTGCCAGAGGCGCAGCCCAGGACACTCTCCCAGGAAACCTCGGGGACTGGGGACTGTCAGTGGCTTCACTGCTTGGCAGTTCTGTGCATGGCCCTGGGCCAGCCTGACCTGCACCCACCGGGTGGCTCCTCCCTGGCCTCTGCTCCTAGAGGCCGGAACCCTGTCTGTCTGACCCATCTGTAACCTGTGGCGCCCATGCGCCCAGGCAGTCACATGTGAAAGAGGCACTCTTGCCTATGGTTTCATAGGCTTGCGTGACAGTGAGACAGAGTGACTGGGTTTCTATCTGTGACTCAGGTGTGATTTTTACTCCCACGCATAGAAACAAACTCTAGATTTTATATTCTTGGAAGCAATGTTCTATGCACTGGCTTCTAGGCTTCTATTTTCTTTGAAATATGTATTGAATTCTTACTGGGGTCACTTAACCCTCCACATTTACACGTGCATTGAATACTTCAGTGAGCCAAGTACCTCGAGGCTCCTGTGATGATTGAGTTTATGTGTCAGCTTGGCTGGGCTATGGTACCAGCTGTTGATCAGACACTATCCATATGTTTCTGGGAAGGTGATTTTTAGATGGGGTCAACATGTAAATCAGCAGACCTGGAGTAAAGTCGATTGCCCTCTGTAATATGGGTGGGCCTCATCCAGTTGGTTAAAGCCTTAAAAGAAAAGACTCAGGTCCCCAGAAAAGGAAGGAATTCTGCTTCCAGACTGTCATACAGAAACCTGGCCTGGTTTCCAGACTGCTAACCTGTCCTGCAGATATCGGACTTGCCAGTCCCCACAATCATAGGAGCTAATTCTTCAAAATCGATCAATTAATCTCTTTCTCGCTCTCTCAATATAGATATATACAGATAAATATTCATATCCTATTGGTTCTATTTCTCTAGGGAGCTCTGATCAATACAGCTCTTCAATCTATTAACCCATTTGATTTCCACAATCCTATGATCAAGACGCAGTGGAAGTGTTCATGTACAGTGGCCACTTGGGCTCTTCACAGACATCCCAGGCCCCCCTTTCCTCCCGAGCACACAGAACTGCACTGCCTGGCCTCCTGTCGGGGGATGACCAGCTCTGGCCAATGACTGGTGAGTGCCAGGATATGCTTTTCACTCAGCACCTGCCATTGTTGGGTCCCTCAGGAGAGCAACCTTTTCCCTCTTAGCAACTAGTGTGTCCAGCGAGCAGCTGCTTCCTTGGCTGGGATTCCAGAGGATGACAATGACATGGGCACAGAGCCCTTAGTCTTCCCATGAAGGGCATGTAGTATGTGTAAGAAGTAAACCTCTGGAGACAAATACCCAAGGGATGTTTGTTACTGCAACAAGAACTACCCTGTGCTGACTGATACACAATGGCACTACCTCATTCACAGGATGGAATGAAGATAAATGAAGAAATTGAACACTTTAAAGCACAGGCTGAATCCAACAGGAGTCTCATGAATTTTAGGGTGGGGCCAGGAGAGGTGCTATTGTTTAAGGCAGAGGAGACAGGATGGAAAATAAAATGCTGTGATTTCCAACAGACACGTACCTGCTAAGGGGGATGTCGGGTTTCCAGAAGGGATAAACTCGAGCCACAGAATCTCGCATCTGTTCCTGGTAGCCCAGGTAAAAATAGGCATCGTGGGAAAATTTCAGGGCCAGCATGTCTGTCGGATGGTCACAGAGAATCTGTTCCCAGAGCTCACAGGCTTTCGGAAAGTTCCTGGAAGCCAAGAGAGTTTTCCCATAGCAGGGAACACATAGGTCACACACACGGGGCGCAGAAGGCGTGGTCTCCTGCCTCTGTCACCATCTGCACTCGGCTGGACACGAGGAGTTTCTAGGTTGGGTTCTGGCTCAGAAAATTGAAAAACCAGTGGGAAGCTTTACTCTGGACCTCAAGGAAAGAAAACTGGTTTAACAAATTGTCAAATACAAGTTCACCCACAGAGGCCATGAACCAGCTGCAGGAGTCTCGGAGGTGGAACTGCATCTGGCTGACATCTGGCTGGCTCACCAGGAAGAACAGGAAAAACTTTCTTGCTGCTGTTTCGGAATCCTTACCCAGCCCGCTCAGGGCACCTAGGCCTGCAGGGCTTCTCCCCTGCCAGAGCAGATGCAGACACTGTCCCGGAGACGGGTCTAGGACCAGAATGCCATACGCAGCGGGATTACAGGATCGCACGGCAGCAAGACAGACTGACGGAGGCACGGCCCTGTCTGGAAGGCTGTGAGATGGTCAGAAGGGCAAGAAGCATAAGGGTAAGAGGTTTTTTCTCTCTTGATCTTTTACAGAAGATGTCTAATGTGGTCCTATTATTTTTAGTGACAAAAATAATAACCATTTTATTTAATGAAATAGAATAAATTGCTTTGAATGTGACATTGGGAATCCTAGCCAACTACTTCATTCAGCAGTCAGCTGGGACAGAATGCAGGGGGATGTGACTTTGAAGCAGAGGGCATGGGAGCAGGATCAGAGTCACCCTCGGTCCCCTTCCCCAAGGGTGCTGGGTCAGCCTGTGGCATCACCCAGCATGGCCTCGGAGCACCAGCCCTGGCCTGGGGAGGCCCCTTACCCCTTGGCAAAGGTCGCTACCGCAGACACGTGCAGCTGCTCCCGCGGCGTCAGCGGCTGTGTTTCGGAAATCTCCACCATCGTCCTCACAGCCAGGTCCAGCTCTTTGTCCAGTTTCACAGAGCTTCCGGTGCCAATCAGCACGAGGCCGTTAGAGATGACTTGGCCCATCACTGGTGAAAGGTTGGAAAACAGCTGGTGATTCAGACAGTCCAGCCCAGCCAAGCCCAGAGCCCACTGGAAATAAACACCCCACATCCCAGGAGGGGCAAGCCAGGTGGCAGGCAGGCTGTGTGCCCCACCCCTGCAACAGGCCACAACTCCTGGGCCTCGCAGTAAGCGTGGAGGAGCAGCAGCCCTCAAACATTCTGCACCTCCACAAATATTTTTCTAATGAGGGTACTCTGGTGAGTGCCAGTGTCTGCAGCACCTTCCCCTTCACCGTGTGAACCAGTTAGGGGCTGCCTGCGAGCTCCCATGGCCCCCAGCCCCTCCTCCCGCCTCGTCAGCTGATAACCTCACCGTAACCAGCACAGGGCCTCCAGGGAGGCACTCAGGAGATGCTGTCTGGGGACTGGTCCCCAGAGCTCTGAAGCCATGGTTCTGTCTCAGCCCTCCATGCACTGCGAGCTCGGAGGGGTGAGGGGTGTGCCTCATGGCACCGGCAGCAGCCTTGCTGGCAGACAGCTACCTGGGCTTCCCACAACCTTGACAGGGTGTCGGCTGGCATTTGGAACTCAGTCACTCCTGCAGGCCTGGGACCACCCCAAAGTGCTAGTGACCCCTGCTTCTAACTTGGGACCTGCAGTCTGCTTAGAGAGCCTGAGCCCACCCTTGCCTACTGGTACCCACAAGCCAGGCTCAACTTACGTCTTCCCTCTTCCTGTGCCCCCAGCCCTCAGGGGGACCTGGCCGTAGTGGGGTGGGAAGGGTGGTCCCTGCTGCCCTGCCCTCCTCAGCCCTTCTCATAGACCCAGAACCCCACCCCACATGGGGCCACCCTCCCGGGGTTCTGGAATGTCTCTCCATGCCTGCTGCACACACGGCTTGCCTGGATGCCACCTCTGTCACGGGGCCCCAGCTGCTCTGGGTGAGGCCTCCCCGATGCTCTGATAGGCTGTGTAGGCACCTCCTGTGTTCCAGGGGCAGGCTTCAGATTCAGTCAGCCTCGTGTGATCCCAGACCCCCAACTACCAGCTGGGTGGTTTGGGAATGTTTCTTACTCTCTCTGAACCTCAGTATTCTCATCTGAGAAATGGGATCAGTATTGTTCTTGAACAATTACAGGGAAAATGGGAAAGATGCCTTCAATGGAGCCTGGCATCTCTATGGGAGCAGCTGCCGTTCTAGGCTGTGGCTGTCTCCTTCCCTCCCTCTATGTCAGTGCCAGCCCAGCCACTGCCACCCGGGCTGTCTCCCACAACCCAGCTGAGACTCTCAGTCAGGGAGCCAGAGGGCGGCACCTGTGAGGCAGGGCCCCTCAGCCCAGGGAAAAGCATCACTCACCAAAGGTTGGATCTGCTGCTTTGAGCTTTGACAGGCAGCCCTCAATGCCACCAAGACTCTTGTCATTGGTCCATTTGACATACTGAAATAAAAAACATAAGACAAAGTGTCCCCAGGGAGTCCTTAGTTCATGTTAATGAGGGCATGTATCTAATCTGGGTCGGTTTTTTTGCCTAGATCACTATTTTCTGGCCTCTAACAATAACTGGGTTGACCTCTTATGAGGAGATCAAGTACCCTTAACTCAGGGCACATTTTCTAGGGCTGGTGAGGCTGACACTTCCAAACAAGAAACACCTGGAGGAAGGTTCTTCCTGACAGGTGACTGTCCCCAACATCAGCTTCCTCAGCCATAAGAGGGGCCCTGAGGCTGGGCACCACAGTAGAGACCTTCCCACTTCTTCCTCATCCCTGTTACAAAGCACCTCAGCAAATATGCATCCCAGAAAGCTAGGAAGAGACATGAAAGCTGAAGGATCAAATTTACACTTAATCTCATCTCATCACCTTTTTTGACAATTTTGTGTATTTACTTCTAGTCTGTTTTAAGAGGCCAGGCCTACCCCGGCAGATGTCTAACCTACACCTACACAGAATTAGCACATGTATTTTAACAAGACACAGGGGAACTGGCGCAGGGACTCAAAGAGCCCATGCTCTAACACAGGATGGCACAGAGACACCAATACACAGGACGGAAAATGCACAGCAGAGGTCAGGGTGGGCTGCCACTGCATTGAGGAATGTGCCATGTAACAAACAGAGTGTCCTACAGAGGGCACAAAAAGAACTCAAATGCACACAGTGAGACACTGGCAAGCTAAGGGCATTTCACCATTCATTTCTTTACTACTCTTATGTTTCTAGAAGCTTCTTTGGTTCCTATATTGTGTGGATGCAGTCAGCAGGCAGCGGCCTCACTGCTCACAATCAAGCCCAGCTGAGGTTTTCTGTTGCTGTCTGTAGACCCAGCCACACCTCCCTCCTCCAGCTCACGGCATGAGTCAGCTCAGCTCTCTGATTTCCCCACCTGTCAACAAAGTAGCTGGACCTCACCTCTGAGACCCTCTTAGTTCTAACCTACAGGCTCCTTCACTGGTATCAGACATGACTGGTAATGTGGTGAGAGCAGTACCGTCACAAATTAGCCCCTGGACAGGGCCCCATGCCCTACACAGAGGAGTCCATATCAACCCCTCAGCAGGCCACACGGGGACAATGGCTGGGGGGCACCACTGCTGTCTGCCTGCCACCACAGGGGCCTCTCAGCCATCGACAGAGATGATCCTCACACATTCCCAAATACTGGGGTACGGAGTACATAGATCCCATTGCAGTCTATCGCTAACATCACCAGGAAGCTTAAAAAATCATCCACCACTTTCCCAGTTACTGGCTGTGGGGCTTTGGTTCAGCCTGAGCCATTGGTCCCGTACAAGGATGTTTCAAAGTGTTATGAAGAATGTTTGGGTCCTCATGGAGCCCTACTGCCCTCAAGGTTACCAGGAGATCTGGGTGGGAATGGCACGAATGCCTTCACTGTTCACCAGACAGGAGTGCGGATAAACCTGGGAAGCTTCGAGTCCTGTGCCTACTCACGTCCATCAGTACCCAGCTCTTCCTGGAGACTACATCCCCGGACTCGTCGGCCTGGCCGTGAACTTAGGCAATGGAAATGTGCAGCAGGGCCATGGACCCGTGTAAATACCATTTACTTCAGGGCATCAATAAATGCAGCTGGAAGATGTGCCCAAAACTTTTTAAATTAATTAAAAGCATTTGCCAATTACAAAAAAACAGAAGGGCCGCCCCTTCCGTCAGCGGGCATACCTGGGTCAGGGTGGCGTCAAACAGCCTGCAGGCCTCATTGCTGGGGGTTGACAGCGGGAGTCCTGCATCCTTCCATGCCTACACACAGCAAGGCGGGATTATCAGGACCTTATTCCATGGAGTCTTCCCATCATGAACACACAGACCACAACCCGAGCAGGAAGAGCTCCGAATGCCTAGCACTGCAGGAATGGGTTTCTGTAAGACCTGGCCTTGCGAGGTAGACATGGCCTCCCAGATTTCAGATATGGTACAAGCCTGAGACAGCTGACCCCTGGGTGGGACGGAAGCCAGTGCAAAACCCAGAGGCCTCTAGATAGCTGTGCCCTCCGGGGGGCCTCCTTCAGACCCCTGGGTGATCCCTCTGTGAAATGCGGCTCGGGTAGCGGCACGGCTGATTGTGAAGTTTCCTCCGGGAGCAGACACTCAGTAAACAGGAGTCCCTGATCAGGCTGCGGGGTCCAGCGCTGGCGTGCAAGGCACTGACAAGGCGTGCACTGTGGGCCAGCCACTGAAACAGTCCCTCTCTTCTCTGCACCTGGTCGGGCGATCCGGACCGACATCTTGAGAAGGGCGCTGTCACAGCCCGGCCTGCGGAGGCCTGAGCGCGGCGCACCGACCCGGGTCTCCCCTACTCCCGCAGGCACAGCGGGCCCCGCCGAGGTGTCCTGCGGGCCTGGGGGCGGGTGCCCCGGCTCCTCTAACTCCGCCTTCCCCTCTGCGGCCCGGGCCCAGGCTCCCTGCCCTGGAGGCCGGCATGGGGGGATGCTGGGCCCCGCCTGGGTTAGTGCTTTTCAGGAGGTCCCGCTCGCGGTCTCTGCGGGGACCCGGCGCGCGCCGCGGGTCCCCGGTCCGGCGGATGCGCCCAGGACGCCCGGCCGCCTCTTGGGTGCGGGTGGGACCCCGCCGGCCCGGGCGCCCGGCCACCCCCGGGGCGCTGGGGTAAACAGCCGGGCCGGGCCGGCGTCCGCGTACCTGGCAGTCGCGCAGCGGCGCGGTCGCGGCCATGGGGCCCAGGGCGCGTCCGGCTCCGGCGGCCTTCCGGGCGGGGTGCGGCGGCAGCGCTCTGCCGCTCGCTCACTGGCCGGCGGGGCACGACCCGCCCGCCGGCAGAGGCCCCGGCGGCTCCGAGGGGGCGGCTCCGAGGGGGCGGCTCCCAGCAGCGGCGGGAGGCGGGAGGCGGGAGGCGAGCGGCGGGTGGGGCGCTCGGGAGCCTGCGGGCGGCCTCACCGGCCTTCCCCGCGCCTGCCTCCCACCCCCTCCCCAGCCCCTCGGGGGGTCGTCCCTGCCGGGAACCCTCTTGGGAGGCAGGGGAGCCCGGGGACACGGTCCTTTGCCAAACCCTTGCCACCCACTCGGAAGCCACAGCGCGCTCAGAGAGGGTACTTGCGGTCACCAGCCCAGGAGCCTGCCTGTGCCACCCCGCCGGAGCCCCGGGGCCCCAGCCCTCTCGCTCCCCCTCGAGGCCTCCGGTCCTCTCCTGCTGTACCACTTCTCCACCCGAGCTCTGCCCTGAGCCGCAAACCCCCTGCCCGGGCTGCTCCGGCCAGGTTTAATGGAACCCTCGCCACCTGTCTCAGGGTGGGCGTCCAGGGCGCTGTCCCAGCGCAGCGTCAGAGCCTGTCCTTATTTTAAATGTTGATGTTTTATTCACCATGGACTTTTGGCATTAATTTTGATTTTCAAAATATCGCATTAAACTATTACTTGTCTTATGTAAAAGATGAAACTATACAATTCTCAGAAGAAAATCTAAGGGTAAATCTTCGTGATGCTAGATTTGGCAATAGTCTCTTATATATGACTCCAAAGACAAGCAACAAAAGAAAACATAAAAATGGGTTCCGTCGCAATTTTAAAATGTTCCTGTGTCAAAAGGACTATCAAGAAAATAAAAAGACAAACTACAGAATGGGAGAAAATATTTGCAAATCACGTATTGCAAAGAGTCTAGTATCCAGAATACATGTAAAAATTCTTACAACTTAATAGAAGACAACAAACAGCCCAATTTTAAGGAGCAGAGCATGTGATTAGATACGAATGGCCAGTAAACACCTGAAAAGAGGCTCAACATCATTAATTATCGGGGAAATGCAAACCAAAGCCACAATGAGAGGCTACTTCACACCCACTAGGATGGCTAGAATTAAAAAAAAAAAAAAAGATTAAGAAGATTAAGTGTGGGCAAAGACATCGAGAAACTGGGACTTCCAGACATCGTTGGTGGGAAAGTAAAATGGTGCAGCCGCTGAGGAAAACAGTTGACTGCTCAAAAAGTTGAAATAGAATGTCCTAACAATTCACCCCTAGGTGGCACAGGTGCTGGCCCTTTACTTCCACCTTGGGGGTCAGGGGTGGCCTGGGCTGGAGAGGCAAGGCCCAAGCTGGGGAGCGGCGGAGTTTAACATACAGGGAAGTTTGAGTTTTGACCCTTACAGGGACCCGGACGTTTTAATTAGACTGAAAAACAGTTCTACTTTTTCACAAAAAGTGAAGAGAGGACTCCTTACACAAGGCCTGGGAAAGAACTATCCTCACACAGTGCGTCAGCAGGAGTGCGGGCAGGGGGGCAAAATTTCTTAAAATGTGAGACCTGCTTATCTGATGTACAGGTTCCCTACCTCATCTCACCCTAATGAGGGAACAGGCCCAAGGGAGCTTAGCAACATTATTTATAGACAGACGTAGAAAGCAACCTTGAGTGTCATCAGATGAACAGATGAATTGTAGGCTGTTCCCTCAACAGACAACGACGCAGTTGCGAAGAATGAACTAAAGTTTCCTCAATCAACCCGACGATGCTCACTCACAGCTACAGTCTGTGGAGGAATATATGCAATACAGTAGCATTACGTACATTCAGTAACATGCAGGATGATCTACTACTAAGCAACTGTTCCAATGTCAACAGCAAAGAAAAGGTGAGGAGACCGGCACGGGCACAGGGTTCTCTCTGGAAGCACATCAAAGTCTCCCACTGAATTGGGCTATAGGCACATGGGCTCATTATTTTTCGTATCTTCCTATACATCTTAGATGTTTCATAGCGCCCTGATCATTCCCCTTGTGCCTGCTGCCCTACTTCCCTGTTCTCCACGTCAGCAAAACCTGCCCCAAGAGTTGTATGTGGTTGCCCCACGATGCTGCTGACACAGTCTTGTCTAGGGCACCAAAGTGTCCTTGATGTCAAACCAGCAGCTACCACTCCCACCTCATCCTCCTGGTCCTCAGCTGCAGCTGACACAGCCGGCCACACCCTCTTTCTTAAAGCACCTCTCCCAGTAGCTTCCAGGACACCACATTCCCCTGGTTCTCCTCCTGCCCCTGTGCGGCTCCTTCTCTACCTCCTTGCTGGCCTGCCCTTTAAATGCCACAGGACTCAAGTCTGTCCACTTCTCCGTCTGTACCTCTGCCTACAGGAACTCTGATGGCTTCCGTCTGAGTCTCTAGCCCTGACTTCTCATTGTTTTAGCTCAGGCTGAACAAAATACCATAGACTTGGGAGCTTAAACAGTGAACATTTATTTCTCGGCTCTGGAGGCTGGGGTTCTGAGGGTGCCAGCATGGTCAGGTCCTTGGTTAGGGCCCTTTTCCTGGTTTGCAGACAGCTCCCTTGTCATTATGTCCTGACATGGCCTCTCTGTGGTGCCTGCATTCAGGAAGAGAGAGAGTGGGTGGAAAATAAAGCTCTACTAAATGCTGCCTACAAAAAAAACACTTTAAATACAGACATAAACTGAAAGCAAATGAATGAAAAAAGGCATGCCATATAGACAGTGAGCCTAAGAAGGACAGTGGGGCTAGTTTATTTAAAATTTTTCCTGTTTTTTGGGGTACAATTGTCATAATGTGTCTATTTTAATATCAGGTAAAAATAGACTTCAAAATTTAGAGATAAAGAGAAACATTTCTAATGATAAGAGGGGCAATTCATCTGATGGTTACACATCTGATAGAGCTGCAAAATAGACAAGGCAAAAACTGACAATGAAGAATGAAATAGACCATTCATGGCCACAGTACGGGAGATTAACACCCTCTCTCAGCAGCGGGTAGAAAACGAGACAAAATTTCGGAGAAGACATAGATACTCCAAGCAGCGCTACCATCTGGATCGGCTGACATTTACAGAACCCTCCACCCAATGGCAGAATGCACATTCCAAGTGCATGTGGATCATAGACCACACTATGGGCTTTCAAACAGGTCTCCACACACTTACAGGCATAAGAATCATACAGAATGTATTCTCTGACCCCAACAGGGCTAGCTTAGAAATCAATGACCATTAGGTTTTTCAGGGAAACTCCAAATGCATGGAAATTAAACTACACACTTTAATTCGTGGGGCAAAACCAAAACGGGGAACTCCGAACAGTTTTAATTGAGTGGCAACCAATATACACCGTAGATGTGCGGGACGCGGTTGGGCCACGTCGGAAGGGACACCCAGAGCACTAAGCGCTTCCACCGGAAAAGGAGGAGGATCCGACGGTGGTGACTCGGGCTTCACCTTAAGTCCAACCGGAAAGCAAAATCTGAGACCCCAAACCACGCGTCTCGTGGCCGCGTTTCCCGGGGGCCTGGGGTGCGCCCCGAGGGGCTGCCCGCGGGTGGCGCCCAGGGACCCCAGCAGCCCCCGCGGCCCGCGCGCCCGCGGCCGTTGGCTGGCCCGCCTGCCTCCTTGGCTCCCGCTCCCGGCGGCGGCGCCATGCGGCCCCGGCCAGCGCCCCTCGTGCTCCTCATGCTCCTCCTGGGCCTGGGCCCGGGGCTGGGCCGCCCCCCGCCGCCCCCGGCTCCTCGCAGGGCCCTGACCGCACCGCGCTCCGCCGGGAGCCGGAGCCCCCGAACCCCGGGCCGCACCGCTGTACCCAGCCACGTGGACCTGCGCCTGCGGGCGCCCCGCGGCCGCCGGGCCCTGCGCTGGCTCGCCCCGCTGCCGCTGCCGCGCTGGCTGCGGCGGCCCGAGGGGGCCCTCCGCCCCGGCCCGGCCTCCCCCGTGCCGCCCCGCTCCGACCTGCCCGGCGGCGCGTCCCACGGACCGAGTGGGACCGAGTGTCCCACGGACCAGCCTCCGCCTGGTGTTGGAGACGCTGACAACTCGAGCAAGCCCCACGCCATCGAGTCTTCAGTGTCCCGTCTGTTACCAGCAGATGCGCCCTGTGACATCCACCAGCTAAAGATCAATAGGGACGAAGAAGGGGCCCCCCTGCTGCTGACCAGGAAGATGGAAGCCACCCTCAGTGCCACCGTTCGGTATGTCTGCGCCTCTGCCCAGAATTTGGCGGAGCAGTGGGAAGTCTTTTCCGTTCCCTCGATATTTGATCAGCCAGACTGGACCAAACCTCTGCAAGTACGAGGACTCCGGCTGGGGAAATCTATAAGGGAGATGTATATCCCTAAAAATTCTTTATCTTTGGGTGTGTACGTGTTTAATTTCTCACTGACCATCCTCACGGTGAATCCCGAAAGGCCTTTGGTGAAAGGCTCCGATAACATCTATGTCGTCGTCATTAAAAGTCCCTTGAACGCAGTTATTCTCGGGCCTTCCAGCACAGCAGTTAATTTCACAGATGAGCTGATTCTGAACGGAACTACGTCCTCTGATCCAGAAGCAGATGACCCTTTGGAGGGACTCCAGTTTTTTTGGTACTGTACCACAAATCCGGGAAACTACCAGGGAGACAAAATATTGGGTGCCGAGGAAGTCTGTCTCCCAGAGCAGGCTGACTTGGCCTGGACATGGGCCTCGGGCCCCGTACTAACGCTCTTGCCAGAAACGCTGAAAGGTGACCAGGTGTATTTTTTCAGAATGGTGATACAGAAGGGTGACAGAAGAGCATTTTCTGACAAAAGGGTGCATGTGCTCCGGGGACCAGCTCCTACTGCAACTATTTCATGTATCAAAAATTGTGATACAGTTTTGATTACCTCGGACAGATTTTCTTTGTCTCTAAATTGCACAAATTGTGCTGCAAGGCATGATTTCTATCAGTGGTCAGTTCTGTCGCCCACAGATGATGAGGTGGCATTTGACTGGGTGGGGCAAACCACCACGGGGAGGAATAGCGCTTATTTGTCTATAAAAGCGTTTGCCTTTCAGCATTTTTTGGAAGATCGATTTTGGATTTCTCTGCATCTGGCAACATGGAGTGGGGTGGCCCTGGTCCTCAGGTACTCCTTTATCATTAACCACGTCCCTGAAATTGGGGAATGCAAGGTTAATCCAGCTAAAGGCATTTCATTTTTTACCAAGTTTGTGGTCCAGTGTAATAATTTTAAGGATAAGAACATCCCTCTTACATATAAAATAATAGTTTCTGATTTGCATGGTTTTGGTGAAATCAGTTCTTTAACAGAGAACACCTTAGGGGCCATCCTGTATCTGGGGAATGAGTCCACATCACCCCCTTCCTTTCTCCCTGTCGGTGTGGCGGCTGATCATTATGCCATGAAGATATACACTCAGGTGTATGACTCCCTAGGGGCCTTTTCGCAGGTGGCTTTGTATGCCACTGTGCGGGCTCCTACTGACAAAATCTCACCAGAGACCGTGCTGCATCAGTTACACGTGTCCACCGTGGGACCGAATTCATCACTATCTACTTTGCTTCAAGAGCAGGAGTTTTTACCTGCAGGTTATTTAATGTTTATAGCAGCTTCCATCTTGAATAGCATGAGCAAATTCACTCTGCAAGCTGACAAAGCCAGACTCCGCGAACACCTTGTCAATCAGTCTTTCGTTCTTCCTGTCAGCACTTTGGAGGAAATTAGCCAGGTAATTATGGCTCTTACTAAGTTAACCCAGAAAACCTCTGAATTCACTCCAGTGTCTTGGCAACTTGCCACGGTGAGGACCTGGCAAGCAGATCAAGCCCTACAACAGTATACACAGAAGGATAAATACGTCAGCTCTGAACAAATAGAAACCGTGAGCACTGGGACACTAACAAGTTTGTCCAATATCCTGAAACTGCCTTCTCGCCACCATGTGGCCGACGAGCCTTTCCATGTCCTGGAATCGCTAGCAGACACGATACTGTCAGGCAAAGTGCCCGGGAACGAAACCACCGTCATGACGTCTGCCAGCGTGAACATGTACATCAAGAGAACTGAAAAGTGGGATGTTACCACGTCCTCCAGCGATGAGAAACACAGTCGGAATTGTTTCCATCCAACACTGAATGTCAGTAGCGTTCCCAGCTTGCCTGAGAGTGCTCCAGTTTCGATGATGTTTTGTGAGTTTGCAGATGACCCCTTTCCTTGGCTAAGTTATCCAGAAAACAGGTGGGCAGAGGTGGTGGGATTCAGAATGACAGGAACCACAGCTAACGGTGACGTGGTAGAGATCACACCTGATGTAGCGGAAGTGTACTTGGTCAGAAAAAACTTGAGCTTTGCAGCTTTTAATCTCACAGTGGGACCTGATGACGAGCCCAGTAAGGACGATGGGTCCTTGAAGATGACGACAGGGCGGTTTCTCTTTGAGGTGGACAGCAGAGCAGTCCGGGAGGTGCTGGCTCACATCGTGACAGAGGTGACAGTGCTGTTCACGGTGCTGGTGTATGCAGGCAGAGAGGTCACCCCCATGGCTTTGGTCGCCACCTTCCTCGTGCCCCACGACATCCCTCCAGTTGCCAACCAGAGCGGCCTGTTTGACCCAGCTTGCACAGTTAAGCAGGCCCGCGTGGTTTGCCTTCCACCGTCCCTGCTGCAAGTCGTAGCGCAGCGAGGCCGCACCTCCGAGAGTGTCATAACTATGGTTCTGCAGGCGCCTCGTTTTGTCATGAAGCCCAGTGACAAGATAGTGAGAATTTCTCTTTTCAGTGTTCACTGCTTGGACATGTATGGGATCCAGAGTGACTGGAGAGAAGACACCTGTGTTCTTGGGGAGAAGACCACGTGGCGCCGAGTGCACTGTATCTGCAAGAGCCCGGGGCGGGCCCGGCGGCAGCTGGACACAATAAAACTAGCCAGCCTTCGCCTGCGCACCCGCTATCTGACAGCCAGGGTGATTGTGGTCCCCAATCCTGTGGACCTAAGGTTAGAGGTCATCAAGAACATTACCCACAACTCCGTGACCCTCTTCACGGTGCTTTTCATTATGCTCATATACATAGTCCTTGCTTTCTGGACCTTGCACAGAAATAAAATGGATCAGTTTCTTCAGGAACATGTGATAATTCTTCCTGACAATGATCCTTATGATAACATATGTTACCTAGTCACTGTTTTTACAGGAAGCCGTTGGGGGTCCGGGACCAGGGCCAATGTCTTTATTCAACTTAGAGGATCAGAAAGCACCAGCAATGTGCACTGTTTAAGCCATCCACATTTTACAACTCTCTACCGAGGAAGCGTCAACACGTTCCTCCTAACAACAAAATGTGACTTGGGAGACATCCATTCCATTCACGTGTGGCACAACAATGAGGGCAAAGCCCCCAGTTGGTATTTAAGTAGAATCAAGGTGGAAAATCTGTCTAACAGACAAATCTGGCTGTTCGTGTGCCGGAAATGGCTCTCTGTTGACACCTCTGTGGACAGGACATTTCATGTCACCCACCCAGATGAGCCTCTAAAGAGAAAGGACTTTTTCCTGATAAACGCAACTTATAAGCTAAGGAAAAATCACATGTGGGTCTCTATTTTTGCTGGTATGGTTCCTAACAAATTCAATAGGCTCCAGAGGTTGTCCTGTTGTTTAGCAATGTTGCTATCCTCCCTCATGTGTAACATTATGTTCTTTAATCTAAACAAACAAACTGAGCCAGAAGAGGGGTGGTACATCAGATCCATGGTGATAGGGTTGGAAAGTGTCTTAATTACAATCCCTGTGCAATTAATAATCACCTTTTTGTTCACTCACTCCCAGCGGGAGCCCCTGGTGACTCTCCACGAGGTGCCTTCTCAGAAGCAGCCCCTGGTGCGAGAGGCAGGTGGACGCTGGGAAGGACATTTAGAACAATGGCACACTCATGAAACTGCCGAGGCTTGCCGCAGCGGGGCAAACCCGCTCCCATCACAGGGGAAGCCTGGACTCGAGCAGCCCCCTGCCCAGGCAGCCTCGGAAACAGGGCACCAGCCCCAGAAAGCACAAAGCAAGGTCTCCCACACTCGCAAAGCAAATATAAATGCCAACAACAGAAACATAAAAGACAATCAAAGTTTTCAGTCTGCAGACCCATCTTCCCAGCCGGATCCTACTGAGCTCCAGAAGCCCAGGATCGTTCTGCCTTGGTGGTGTGTTTATATAGCATGGTTCTTGGTCTTTGCCACTTCCAGCATATCCTCATTCTTTATTGTATTTTATGGACTGACTTACGGCTATGAAAAGTCCATCGAATGGCTCTTTGCATCGTTTTGTTCATGCTGTCAGTCAGTTTTTCTGGAGCAGCCATCTAAAATCCTACTTCTGTCAGGCTTCAGGACAACTAAGACCAAGTACTGTAAAAACCTTTCATGGGTAACCAAGTATCGCTATACCAAGATCAAGCTGCACAGCACGCAGCTGAGCCCAGACGAGATGCGCAGGCTCCATCAGTGCATCCTGCAGGTCCGTGGCTCGAGGATGTACCAGCCCCTCACAGAGGATGAGCTCAGGATATTCCAGAGAAAAAAGAGGCTCAAGAAGAGAGCTCTCCTGTTCCTGAGCTGCATTCTCACTCACTTCACCTTCCTGGCCCTCCTGTGGACACTGGTTGCCCTCCTGCACCACACCGACAGCTTTCATTACAATCAGTTCATCCGCAGTCAGTTCTCCATGGAGCTTGGAACGGTGACCAAGGTGAAGGACATCTACAGCTGGCTGCACAGTGTGGTGTTGCCTTTGTTCCACAACGACCTGAATCCAACGTTTCTTCCCGGCAGCTCCTCCACAATCCTTGGGCTGCCACTGATGAGGCAAGTAAGGGCAAAACCCGGCGAAAAAATATGTCTGCCTGCCAAAAACTTCATGCAAAACAGCATCGAAAGAGAAATCCATTGTCACCCCAAGTACGGCACTGACCCAGAAGACACAGAAAACTACGCCAGCTTTTGGCAGAGGGTTGTCAGGAGGGCTGCAGGCAAGAATACCGCAGGGTTTACTTATAAGCCGCAAGAAAAGAAATGGGTGTATTCTTCCCACGGACTTTTACATACCTACGGGTCAGGAGGGTATGCGTTCTATTTTTTTCCCGATCAGCAGCAGTTTAATTCCACACTGAGGCTTGAGGAACTCCAAGCAAGCAATTGGCTTGATGAGAATACATGGGCTGTGATTTTGGAACTAACAACTTTCAACCCAGATGTAAATCTGTTCTGTAGCATTTCAGTCATATTTGAGGTTTCTCAGTTAGGCATTGTAAACACAAGCCTATCCACACATTCTTTCTCACTTGCTGATTTCAACAGAAAGACTTCAGCAGAAATCTACTTGTACGTGGTCATTCTCATTTTTTTTTTAGCCTACCTCGTGGATGAGGGCTATGTCATTCTGCAAGAAAAGGCCTCCTACATGAGAAGTGTGTACAATTTGCTCAACTTTGCTTTAAAATGTATATTTACTGTGTTGATCGTGCTCTTTTTCAGAAAACACTTCTTGGCCACTGGCATAATTCAGTTTTACTTGTCAAACTCTGAGGATTTCATTCCCTTTCATGTAGTTTCTCAAGTAGATCACACCATGAGGATCGTATTGGGTTTCCTGTTATTTCTGACGATTTTGAAGACCCTCAGGTATTCCAGATTCTTCTATGACGTGCGTCTGGCTCAGAGGGTCATCCAGACCACTCTCCCCGGCATCTGCCACATGGTGTTAGTGGTATCCACGTATTTCTTTGTGTACACGGCATTTGGCTACCTGGTATTCGGGCAGCATGAATTGAACTACAGTAACGTCGTTCACGCCACTCAGACAATATTCTCTTATTGTATCTCTGCCTTTCAGAACACTGAGTTTTCCAGCAACAGAGTCCTCGGAGTCCTAGTCCTCTCATCTTTCCTGCTGGTGATGATCTGTGTATTGATCAGCTTATTTCAGGCAGTGATTTTGTCTGCCTACAATGAAATGAAACAGCCCCTGTATGAGGAACCATCCCATGAAGCGGAAGCAATGACCTATCTGTGTCACCAGCTAAGAACTATGTTTGGCTTTCTGTCCTTCCCATCACAGGCCAGAGATGAACCTGAGTTCTTTGCTGACATGCTGTATGGGCAGCCAGAGAAGAACAGCCGCCGCTATCTGGGGCTGAAGACCAGAAACATCAACGGAAAGAAAATGGTTTATCTCGTCGTGTGATCGGTGACAGTTTCAAGATCTACAGGCAGGTTTCCCCAGGTGCTCAGTTTGTGGGATTAAGGAATGTTTAGTGCTCAGTCATGCTTTCTACCCACTTCCTTCACAATGCACACCCCTACACTCGCAGGGATCCCCAACTCTTGGCCTCTACTCTGGGGAATGTGAAAGGAGGGTGTCTGAGAGTGGTGTGGGGTCTGGGGAGAGGGGAGGACACTGCTTGTCCTGGGTTGATTTTCCTCTGGAGGGGAATTAAGTGTCTTTGGAGCCCACAACAGTTTAAAGGGTTAGAGAGCCAGATTCGGGGGAGGCCACTAAAGAGCCCCCCAGCCCACCTCACGGGGGAGAAGCATTCTCCTGCTCCTCTGTATCCCCTCGGGCAGGGAGCCCAGTGCTTGTGGCTCCGTGCAGAGCCCCCCACTCCCTCTGGGAGTTCCCTTTGCAGACCTGGGCTGTGGAGCCTCCCCCACACTCCTCACCTCCACCGGCCACATGCCAACTGGGCCAGGGCTGGAGCCATCTTGTGGGGAGTCCCAGGATTTTTGCCATCCTGCTTGGGAATGCAGGGATGGGAACCAGGGTTAGAAGGCTGAACATTCCCATCTACTACTTAGGGCTACTGCAAGTTAATGATTCAGTACCATTTTCTGACCATGAGACATGACTTTTGTTAAATAAAAATGTGAGTTCACACTGAAAGATATTAAATCTTCTATATATTGGATAAAGCAATATGTACATCCAGGATTTGGGCTTCTAGTTATTTATGGCATTGTGGATTACTCAGGAGTAATAAAGAAAATGTGGTTTATTGTGTAAGAGAAACGGCTAGACGCTGTTATTTTTAACTCGTAAGTATGTCCATTATGTACATGCCACTTTAACCTTTTTCAGAATTAAATGTATTTCTTCTGAGAGACTTAGAGTGATTTCTGTGTGAGGGGCATATACAGCAATGGCTCCTGCCGGCAGAGGGGCACAGCCCAGCCAGGTGCATGACTGCTTTGCCCCAGGTGAGGGTTCCTCCCTTGGTGCTGTAGTCCTGGGCTGCAGTTGAACAGCATGCGCGTGCACACACACACGCACATGTGGGCTCCCTAGTGTCCTGACAGCGTGAGCAAACCAGGAGGTTTACTGACTCTCCCAAGGCCACTCACAGTGTCAGAAGATCAGACTTGGATTTTCTAAGTCCCCTGGCGGGGATGTCATGGGAGTGGCCCATCCATTGGCTGCATGAGGAACACATTCATAGAAAGCTCCTCTCTTTACCACCTGACTTCCGAACAGGCTAAGGAAAAGTAAACCTGAGAGCCAAATGATTCCTTTTTATTGATAGAGGCCTGTTGCAGTCTGGACAAATGCCAGTGCCCATGGAACCGCAGAAGGAAAGCCCGGGCTGCTGTCAGGTGCTGGGCGGGCTCCCCTTAGAGGCTTCTAAGACAGATGCCTCAGGCAAGACAGAGACCATGCTCTTGTGCATGGGTGCGCCCAGATGCTCCCCAAATGCAGCAGTCGGCTGAACTCTTGGCCCCTCCAGGCTCAGGTTACATTAGTTTGCTTCCTTTCCCAAAAAGAAAGCTCCAGGGGTGGGAAGAGGGTCCTCCTGCCACACACACACACAGACACAAGGCCAGCATAACATCTCATGACCCAGAGCTGTGTGTTAGGAGTGTGAGTTACAGGGTCATAAATGCAGGGCCCAAGTGGGAAGTGACAGAGAGGCCTTGGGAGCCCAGGAAGGGAGGCCCTGGAACCAGCATCGAGGCAATGCAGGTGAGGACCAGGGATGGCAGTTGTGGGTCCTATGAAGCAGACAAGACTCAACTTCTGGTTACAGTGAGGAGTCTAGCAGGGTCACAGAACTTTTTCTATGCATATTGGGAAAGAAGAGCGTGCCAGCGCCCTTCTGCTAATCTGATGGAGCCATGAAAGTATTTGCAGTTAACTACAGGCTTGCACCTAGTTGGCGATGACATGGCTAAATGCCCTAAGAAAGTTTGAATCATTGGTAAATACAGGACCCATTATGGTGCCTCCTACAAGGTAACAGTGAAGAAAACTGAAGCCAGCACACCAAGTACACGTGCTCCTTTTGTGGGAAAACCCAGATGAAGAAACGAGCTATGGGGATCTGGCTCTGTGGTTCTTGCAGGAAAGCTATAGCTGGGGGTGCCTGGCCCCACAGCACCGCTTCTGCCATCGCAGTGGAGTGGGCATCAGAAAACTGAGGAACTGAGAGGCCAGGAGAAGTGCCACCATGTGAAGCATTGCTGGACAATAATAAGCGGGTTAATGTATGTAACAAGAAAAGAAATATAGAGATGCCGATGATAAAGTCAGGAAAACAACGTAAAACAATTCAGGTTTCTTTTGAAGGCCATTTATTATTTTTTTTACACATAAAAAGAATGATACGGTATGTACAGTACACAGTATGTAGTCTTTCAGATTGGCCTTTCACTTAGTAATATCCATTTACTTTTCTTTCCTGTCTTTTCATGGCTTGATAACTCATTTCCAGTGGAACCACAGATTATCCATCACCTGCTGAAGGACACCTTGGTTGCTTCCAAGTTTGAGCAAATATGAGTAAAGCTGCTATAAACACCCATGTGCAGGTTTCTATGTGGAAATAAATTTTAACTCCTTCAGGTGAATACTAAGGAGTGTAATTGCTGAATCATATGGTGAGAGTATGTTTAGTTTTATAAGAAACCACCAAACTATACCATTTGGCTGTATCATTTTGTTTCCCATCAGCGATAAGAGTTCCTGTTGCTCCATATCCTGCTACCTTTTGGTGTTGTCAGTATTTAGATTTGGCCACTCTAATAGGCATGTAGTAGTATCTCCTTGTTTTAGTCCACATTTCTCTGATGACATATGATGTGAAGCATCTTCACATATGCTTATTTGCCATCTTGCAGATCTTCTTTGGGAGGTGTCAAGATCTTTAGTCCATTTTTTTTTTTGTGTGTGTGTATATACATATAGGCCTTTTATCTCCATCTTTTTAAAATTAAGGTATCGTTGATACATAATCTTATGAAGGTTTCACATGAGCAACATTATGGTTACTGCATTCACCCATATTATCAATTTCCCCCCATGCCCCATTGCAGTCACTGTCCATCAGCATAGTAAGATGCTATAGAGTCACTACTTGACTTCTCTGTGTTATACTGTCTTTGGCCCATTTTTAAATCAGGTTGTTTTCTTTTAGTTGAGTTTTAAGAGTTCTTTATATATTTTAAATAATCTTTTATATATGACATTATTTTTTAAATTTTTTATTAAGGTATGATATACACTCTTATGAAGGTTTTACATGAAAAAACGTTAGTACATTTATCCATATTATCAAGTCCCTACCCATACCCCAATGCAGACACTGTCCTGTCCATCAGTGCAGCAAGTTGCCAGAGACCCACTATGTCCCTTCTCTGTGCTACACTGTTCTCCCCGTGATCCCCCACACGTGTGTACTAAACATAATACCCCTCAGTCCCCTTCTCCCTCCCTCCCCACACGCCCTCCTACACCCCTCCCCTTTGGTAACCACTAGTTCATTCTTGGAGATATGACATTATCTTTTGCACATTTTCTTTCTGTGGCTTGTCTTTCTATTATTTCATATAGTGCTTATTTTACATGTAGTTTTTCTTTTTTTAAAAGATTATCACATCTGTTCTTCCCATTAAGTGGTTTATATTCCCACAATTTCTCTCTATGCAGTTTCTTTTGGGAAACCATTTTTTTTAAAACTGAGGTTTTAAAATTTTTGTAAGACTTTCCTTATATTAACTGTGGACAGGTTAAGATAAAAATTAACTTTTATTTCTGCCCAAATCATGATTTGCTCTTTGAATATTATTTCACTTAACGCTTATAGTGCATCTCCTAACTCGTCTAGACTGTCTAATGTTTTTAATGGCATTCATAGGTCATAAATGAAATCCTTCACCAGGATGGTCCATCTTTGGGAAGAGCCAGAGGAAAAAACCCAACAGTACATAATCTTTGAATTGATCCAAAGGATGTTATTGATTAAGTACCACTGAGGTCATGTCTGGTAATAAGAAAATCAAAGTGCTTGCCAATTCCTGGGGCTTAGGACAGAGGTCCCTCTTGCCCAGGTCCGAAAGTAGCGTTACTTCCCAGAATTACTAAAATACCCTATATAAACTGTATTTCTTAATTTCCCTAAGGAAAAAGATCCAACCCCAAGGCCTGCTGGCTTCAGAACCGCGCCCTACATAACGGTGCCCGGCGAACTGGCGCAGAGGCCAGGGGCGCGGTGGGCCCAGTTTTGCCCGGGGCCGACTGAGGCAGGGACACCTCAGGAAGCTGCTGTGCTTGCTGCCCCGGGGCCACGCAAGGGCGGTGGGCGGGCGGAGAGCTCAGGTCACGACGGGCGTGCAGGCCACTCGGGGCTTTTCGGAGGAGCGCGGGGACACGTCCACGCGCACACAGCTTATCGGGGTCGCGGGAAAAGACAGGGATTGTTTCGAACCCATCTTGTCCGCTGCCGTAGGCTCTGCGGAGCCCGGTGGAAGGCTCCGAAAGCAGCTGGCGGGCTCGGAGCAGCCAGGTCAGCGGGGAGAGGCGGGCGTGCTTGGGCCGCTGTGGCCCCGCAGCTCCGACGGGGGCGGAAGTCCGCCCAGCAGCCCTGCCCCGTGCGGTGCAGACGCGGAGCGGGGGCGTTGGGGGCGGGGCCAGGGGCGGGGCCGCGCACGCGCCGTGCTCCGAGGGCGCGCAGCGGCCGCGGCCGAGGTTAGTGGCGCGGCGTGGGGCTCGGCTTGCGGCGGCTGCATCCTGGGGCCTGCTGGCGCTGGGGCTCCGGGCGGCTGCCGCGGCGCTGGGGCAGGACGGGGGACGCGGGCAGGGCCGCAGCGGCGAGGGCAGACAGCTGGGCTTGAGCCCTAGTCGGGCTGGACAGGCGCCCCGGGAACCGCAAGGGCCCCACGGAAATGCCGAGATAAAACACAGACGAGGGCTGCATGTAAGGACACGGCGTTTGGGTGCACAGAGCCACGACAGAAAGGCTGTGAACTCGGTGGGTCGGTAGGAAACCCTCCAACGGGATAACAGTGAGAAAAGCAAACCCCGAGCAGAGGGCCCCCAACAGAGGGCTCCTAAACGGAGAGCCCCAACACAGGGTTCCCGAAGAGAGGGCCCAGACGTGGGGGGCTGTCAAAGTCTAATCGATTTGCAGTTAGAAGCTCAGCATGAGAGGGGGGAATGGGGTCGAAGAACTAGTTGAACTGACAATGGTCAAGAATTTTCCAAAAACAATGAAAGATACCAAAACGCAGATCGAATACTTGACTTAAAGTAGCACAAGCAGGATAAATGACTTCAAAAGAAAAAAAACCCTGGAGATACATATGTAAGCTGCTGAAAGCCAAACGTGGAAAATCTTCAAGGCAGCCCGAGGGACGTTCCAGGGAGAGCTGTGGGAAAAGGCTTGCAGGTGGAAGGGAAGCAGGAGCGAGGGCACGGCGGCGGGAAGGAGCCGGGGGGGTTGACGGACAGTAAGTGGGCCCCCGGAGCCGGGGCCTGGCGGTGAGGGCGGCAGTAACTGGGAATGTAATACCCAAGCCAAAGAGGCCTCAAATGCCAAGGAAAGGGGTTTATTCTGTAGTCAGCTGGGGAGCCCCTTAGGTTTGAAGCACCACCCAGAGCCTTGAGTTTTAGACAATTCTGTTGAGTTTTGTCATGCTTTGTATGCATCTACTGAAATGATCGTGCAGTTTTCTTCATTCTGTTGTGATCATGAATTGCATTCACTGGTTTTCAGATGCTAGATCAACCTTGCCTTCCTGGGGTGAAGCTACTCTATCATGAAGCATTAGGCTTCTTAATATTACTGAATTCAGTTGACTCATATTTTGCTAAAGATTTCTGTGTTTCTACTCATGAAGGACATTGGTCCCTCGTTTTCCTGTTGTAGCTTTGCCTGGCTAATGGTATCAGGGTGGTAGTGATGTCCAGGCAATACAGGTCTCATAAAATCACTGGGGAAGCGTTCCTTTCTTTATATTCTGACATGGATTCTGTTCTTTATTATTTGCTTCTTTCTACCTACATTGGGCTGGATTTGCTTTTGTCTTGCGTTTTAAGGTAGAAACTTAGGTGATTTATTTTAAACCTCCTTTTCCAATCTACACATGTGAAGCAGTGAATTTTTCTCTAAGCAGTGGTTAAGCTGCATTCCGTGTATTTTAATTTGGTTTGGTTTTCATTTAGTTCCAAATATTTTATTTCCCTTGTGATTTCTTCTTTGAACTGTGGTTTATTTGGAAGTATATTGTTTAATTTCCAAATATTTGGGGATTTTCCAGGTATCATGTTACTGATTTTAATTTTATTTGGGGGTTGGAGAATGTACTTTGTGCTTTCAGTCTTTTGCAGTTTGAGGGTCATTTTATGGCCCATCATATAGTCAGTCTGTCATGATGAATATGTCACGTTCACTTGAGCAGGCCCCAAACTTACTCGGAACTTGAGGTTCCTTGTGTGCAGGGAGTGCCCTGTGAAAGAAGCACGCACTGGGGGACTTGAGACGTGGATAGTTCTTGGCTCTGAAGGCCACGCATCCTCCCGCCTCTTCATCTTGCAGATGGCGTGTGAGGCAGGGTGCCGTCCCCTGGGTGTGTTCGAGTGCCAGCTCTGTGCCCTGACAGCTCCATACAGCTACGTGGGACAGAAACCCCCCAACACCCAGTCTATCGTGTGAGTCCATGCTTATTTGGCCAGTGGCCCGTGCAGCCCCTGCCCAGAACTGGTTGTCCAGTGCCGTGCTTGAGTGACACACGGCTTGGGTGTTGTGCTTTCTGCCATCCCTGCCCAGGCTCTGGATGCTTCGGGTGTGACCTGGGGAGGCACGGGGCAGAGCTCGAGGGCCACGCGGTTCTTCAAGAACCAGGGCCCTGCCCGCCCGGCCCACAGTGCATCACCGGTGCTCTGGCTGGAAGAGCTCAGCACCTGCGGATGAAGGCACCTTGCTCGCCCCTCATTTGGGGCTGTGCCTTGTCATCATTCCTGCTGGTTCCTCAGGAGCTACTCTGTTGGCGAGAAACCTGCCTGCCTCGTCCTCTCGCACTGGTGGGAGTGAGTCCTGAGGACCAGCTTCCCATGGATCTGCCCAAAGCAGGCCTGGAGTAGAGCCAGGGGGTCCTGGGACTAGAATCTTGAAAATCAAATGCCACATTTTGGGAGCTGACCATTATGTTACTCACATGGGACAAGTGGCAGGGGGCCAAGGCTTTCTTCTGACTGGGTTCCTCTGCTCTCCAGGAACCTGGGTGTCACCATAGAGCCTGGTGGTCTCCTTTCTCCAGCACCATGCACAGGGTGTAAGATGCCCTGGTTCCCTGCTGGAGGCAGGCAGCTTGGGAGGGGTTGTCGTTGTGCTAGGGGAGTGGGGAGGGCTTGGGAGCTCAGATGGTGGCCTGGGAAGTCAAGGTGGGGGCTTGCATGTGTGGGCTTTTGGCTGGGGAGTGGCTTATTCCACCGTGGCTGTTACACAGCTGAGAGCAGGTCTGATTCCAGTTCCAGCCTTGCCCCCGATTGCTTGCCTTTCTGCTACTGCTTGGTGGGTGGCACGGGGACCAGCCCCTCCCCCCCAAGCCCACACAGGGGTTCAGGCCCCGGGGGTCTGTGCTGACGCTGAGCATCTGTCAGCAGACGTTGGCTTCACTTCTGTCCTGCAGCCTGCTGGAGGAGAGCTACGTCATGAAGGACCCCTTTACCCCAGACAAGGACAGATTCCTGATCCTCGGTTCCAGATGCACCTTATGCAGCAGGCTGGTGTGTGTGGGCCCGGTGGGTAAGCCATGTGCAGTGGGCAGCCTTCCCTCCCTCCCTCCCTGTGGCCGGGGCCCCACGTGCATAATCGTGGGAGAGTCGCGTGTGAGCCTTTCCCAAGAACAGCAGGAGAGCTGGCCTCCCCTCGCCATGGTGATGCTAGGAGCCCTCGCAGTCCCTGGGGTGCAGGGGCAGGGGGTGATCAGAGGCCAGCTGGTCTGCCTCCTGATGGACAGGTCCCTGCAGCCAACAGAGGAGTAGTGGACGGCGGAGGGGCAAGCTGGGGTCAGGTGGATGGTCTCAGCACAGATTCTGGGGCCTCTGCACCGCCCCCTACGGCTCCTAATAGTTCTTTCCCCTCCTACAACCATGGACATGGCCTTGGGCTCCTCTTCCTTCTTTCCACGGGACAGTGAGCTGCTTTCTTGGAGGAACCGTGCTTCCTTGAGTACCGTCGTGTGCCAGGCCCTGCTCTTGGTGGGGTTTCCCCCGATTCCCTAGTTGGGCAAAGCAGTATTATGCCCACCTTAGAGGTGAGGAAACCGAGGCTCGGAGAGGCTGTGTGGGCCGTTCACCAGGATAGTGAGCTTGTTTGAAAACCCAAGGACAGGTGGAGTGTAGCAGTGTGGCTGAGGGGGGTGCCCCGTAAGCTGGGTGACCCTGTGGCTGAGAGGTCCCCAGGCATTCTGCCAGGAGCAGAGGGCAAACAGGGAGCTGTGCCACAGCCCATGTTTAGACAGTCAGCCTCTGTCCCTCAAAGGTCAGGGTGATGAGATGTGACGGGGTCGAAGGAAGTCTTCGCACAGCAGCGGCCAGGAGGGAATGTTCCAGGATGTGGGGCGCCTGGCAGGCCTCTGGCGGGAGAGCAGCAGCTGGGAAATTAACACTAAAGGGGAGTGAGGCCAGGCGGAGAGCAGCCTTGAACGCCGCACCTGGAATTTGGGCCGTACTTGGTGAGCAGAGGGAGGCGTCCCGTGCGGTACCAGAAACCTCCAACATTCTTTGATTAAATCGCCAGTTGTTAGCAAGTCTCCATGGAAATGGATCTTTTCCTGCTGTAGGAAGGATGGCCTTGTCTTCACTGAGGCGCACTCTAGGCTGCTGGAACAGACACCCCCAAAACACAGCAGCCTGATTCAGACAAATAGTATTCACTCACTTTTCTTCTCCTAAGAGCCCAGAGCAGGCGGTGCCAGGAGGAGGGTCCACTGCCATCGTCCACACAACCTCCCTGTGGCCATGGTAGCCCCCACCATCAGGTCTGCCTTCCCACGGGCAGAAAGGGGTGGGGAGCACAGCCCGCTGCACAGGGGCTAGGCCTGTGGGGCTGTCCCCCTGGCCCCCGGCTTCTCCCAACACCAGCTGTCAGGCCCCTGTCCTACTGCTGTGATCACCGGGAGACAGATGCAGGGTTTCTGACCAGCCAGGTGTGGCTATGCTGCAGCTTCTCTGTTCATACCGCCCGTAACAGCAGGCGTTCTGTCCCACTGCTTTCCCTCCTGGCCCCCCGCACTGCTTTGCTTCTCTCCCATCAGCCTTGGGCCAGTCTCCCTGAAAGATCCCCACGTGCCAGAAACCCTCTGACACCCTGGTGCCTGCAGGTCTGACCCTAGCTCCTCTGCCACCCTCCTCCCCGGTCGTTTCTTTTTCTGTGAAGTGAAGACCATACTTCTCAAGGTGGCGGCCAAGCCCAGGGCCCTGCCCTCCCCACCCCCCCTCAGCTGCCCGTGTGTCCTGGGGCCCCTGCCCTGCCCCCCATCTTGCATGTATGAAGGGCTGGCCTTTGAAAGAAGCCGCCCCACACTTCCCTTTCCATGCTACTCAGCCTCCTACCGCCCCCCCTTCTTCCAGGAATGCAGTTTATTCTACTCCAAGAGGTTTTGCCTCCCCTGTGTCCAGGAGAACATTGATGCCTTCCCTCAGGAAATCCGGCAAGACTTGGAGAAAAGGAAAGTTCCATCAAAGAGGCCTTCCAGCCAGCCCGGTTCTCGGACTTGAGTGCCGCTGGGGTGCAGCAGCAGCAGGGTGGGATGAGAAGACACCCAAAGGGCAGATTTCAGCTGACATCCTGTGAGCCAGCCCAGCGCTCCAGGGCTCTGCAGTGCAGGCGCCGAGGGCAGGCCAGGAACTGGCCACAGAGGGAGCCACGGCCAGCCGGGCCAGCCCTTCTGTTCTTCTGGACTGGAGCTCTGGGCCTTCTGTCAGGGCCGGGCCTGGCCCCCTTCCTGCTCCCACACCACCAGGCGTGCAGGCCCTTGTGCCATTTGTGTGATTCATCAGACGCGGGAGTGCCTGCCTTGCCAGGCTGCTCTGCGGGGCCCTGTGGATGAGGCCCAGCCTCAGAGCTGCCGGTCCCGGGTGGGGAGACCCTCTGTGCTTGTGTCCAGGTCATGCTGGCCGTGCTCACGCCCAGGCAAGAGGATCTGCCCCCACAGTCAGCGCTGCGGCGCTGCTGTCCCTGCAAGGGAGTGTTCACCTGGCAAAGGTGCCATTTGGCAGCGGCTCCCAGGGAGGCTTTCGGTGCCCGTGTGGGAAGGTGCCCGAGGTGTGCTAAGAGCTGCGGGACGTGACTGGGAGGTCCGGTGGGTTTGTACTCCCCACCCATCTGTGATGCTGGAAAATGTTTGATCTTCATCATGTTTATAATTAAAAACCCAAACCACCATGTAGTGCTTTGAATCCTCCCCCTAAAGCGTTCGTGAGGCTGGCGTTCTCCGCAGCACCCGGGACGTGCAGGGCATCAGGAGGTCAGGTGTTGGCGCTTCCAGCCTTTTCTGTCCCTTCAGGCTCTGGCTGCAGCCCCAGGTCCAGCTCCAACCCGAAGGGCACGAATGCCCTCGTCTGCCCACCTCCACCTGTGTCTGCACCTCAGAGCCGGTCTGTTGCTTGCCTGGCCTGCTCCATAGCAGGCTCGGTGCCCGGTGCCTGGGAAGCCCATCCCAGGGCCACCGGCTGCCCCCTGGCCCCCTCCCTCCCCCACCAACCCCCCTGCACCCTTGTCTTAGCAATGATGATTGCTAAGGTGACACAGTGACTCTGCTAGCCTTGTCTGCCGTTCCTCAGCATGAAGACCGTGCTCTGGCTTACCTTGTGGCTCCTGTGAGGTGGGTTTACACTGCCTGGGGATGTTAGCTGCCCTCTGAGGAGAGAATGAACGAGGCTATTACCCATCTGTGTGCTGGGCTTTATTTTCAGATGCCCATAATCCTAAAAGCCTCCCCTGCTTCCTATTACTTTGGACAAATGGATGTCATATTCTGGGTCCACACTGACCCAGGTCCATTCTGGACACTGAAGGACAGAAAGGGACTCTGTGTACAGGTGGCAACTCCTCCGGTGAGTGGGGTGGGGTTGTTTTCAAACTAAACCTTCCATCTCACAGCATCACTCCAAATTCACCAAATAATTTTAAAAAATAGTTTATTTTTAAAAACCATTAAGGCAAAACTGTACCCTGAAATTAACTCTTTACATTCATCAGTCTTACAGTAGGACATTCCAAACATGTAAGTTCCCATACATTCAGGATATAAATCAATATATATGATCCGTTCAATCTCCTAGTGGGAAAAACAACCAAGATTTTTAAAATCAAAGTTATTTTATAGCCATTTTCTAATTACCTGGAACCACTACCAATTTCAGTTAAGGTGACTAGCAAGATTCCATCTGCTCTCTGCATACCGTGCTTCCTGAGGCCGTGGATGCCCACCCAGACCCAGGAGAGTCCTGCCTAAAAAGACCTGCTTGGTAACTGCTCCTGTTTAGTATAAAAAAGGGGTCTGTCAGTCCCTGAATACTTTGAGAGTATAAGGCACCTAAGAATAGCAATGAAAAACACGCGCCAAGAAGCCAGGCTCGGTCTCGCTTGGGCATCTGCACTGATCCGACGTGTGTCATACACGCTCCCCATCGACTTTCAGCAGGATGGCTCTGCGGTCCACGCGGGGTACAGATACAATCAACCAGAAATTTCGCTAAGATGGCAAAAACAACATGGGAGACTTGGGGTCTGTGGTTCTGTTTTACGCTTCAGGCCTGGCCATCTGGGGGCTGCCAGAGAACCAGCTGGTGCAAATATTCCATCAGAATATTTGAGATCGCCCAAGTTCTTTGGTAATAATAACCCACAGGCAGTCATTCCCTGAAGAGCAGACAGCTACTTACTACCCGGGAAGAGCTGACGGTCTTCCCTGAGACGCTGCTGCAGGAAGCCTGGCCTGGCCTGGGTCTGTGGCAGCCTCGCCTGCTGCGTTTCTTGACTGTGACGTGTGACAAAGGGAACACATCTACACAGGGAAAGAAATCCTACGTGGCTCAGGAGCAGTGAAAACCTGCATGTGCACGCGCGCAATTGCATTTCAGTGGCTTGAGCCTCCCCTGTGTTTCCAGCAGGGTCCACGAGGCAGGCTATTAACACACGTTAATTAACCTAATTTCAAAATACTCCAAATGTTTGTTATTTGATGCATTATTTTAAGTTATTATTTGTATTAAGATTTTTTTAAAACACTAGAATCACAGTATTTAAGAGAGAGCTGTTAACATGCTCTTTCTACCACGCAGTGTAGGAAAACAGTGATACTCAAACACAAACACTAAACTTACTGAAAAGGGTGCTGAGTGGCATTCATCTTTTGTGAGGTACTTTCTTTTTGGGTCTGAAAAAAGGAATAGACCATCTGTGCTTTTAAAAAGAAGATTATTTTCCAAAAGTGAATGATTTTACCTTGAAAAGATGGGTCACTCACTCATCTTCAGGGCCTGAAGCTTGACCTCCCTGCCTCAAGGTTGTGTGGAGGCCTGAGGGCACCTCTGGGCCAGGGGAGCTGGTGGCCCTCCTACCCCCACCTTGGGGCTCACCTGCATCCCATGAGGCAGGGCCAGTGGAGGTGGTGTGTGTGCACCAGCTTGCCTGCTGCTGTGTTTGATGCAGTAACAATTTAGGTGCTGAGCGTGGGAAGACAGGCTAGGGTGGAGAGGTTGGTATAGTAACTTCTCTGGAGAGAAACATGCAAGTTTTCACATTTAACCTAAATTAACCAACAAATTTCAAACTTAAAAACCTGACCCAGGTCTTGATTTGCTGTCTATGATGTAAAAATACTGATGTTTCTTAGTCTGTTTTTTTTTTTTTGCAAATAAAGCATTTAACAGCCATGGGACCACTTAAAGTCCTGGATGTTCTTAGTTGCTTCAATCAAGAGGTGACACTGAACATGGATGCAGTTTGGTTTGTTCTGTTTGGCAAAGGATTTCAAGAGGGTGTGGCTCTATGCATTTCAGCTGGATTGCATCCTATGGCCCCCATTTCTTGGGGTTGGGGAGTAAATGGTTCTCTCTCTCATCTCAAACTGAAAATGTGAGAAGCAGCCGGCCGCTGTCGATCTGAGAGGGCGGCGGGCCTCAAGCTGTGGAGAGAGCAGGGAGCTGAGCTGTCCTCCTAACCCTCCCACTGCAGGTATTCAGGTGCCTCACTTCCGACCGCACCGCTGGGAGGCGGGCCAGAAGGATGGCTCCCACCGTCTGTGTCAGGAAGGCCAGAGTCCTTCCTCTTAACTGACAATGCGATGCAAAGGCATGGCTGGTGAGAATCATTCATCCCAGAGGATCCCTACAACTCGGCATGGACAAGCGTCGGGAGAAGTCGGGCCACTTCTAAAAGAAGAGGAACAAATACACAGAGCCTGGCATTGGGCCTCTTGGGCTGGCAGTGCCAATGCTGTAAAAAACTGGGTATGGGGAAAGAAATCTGGACACTTAATAAGTAGCCCTCAGGTGGTGGCACCAATCTTTGCTTGTGACTTCTATGGTGGCTTAATTTCCTTGCCTCCCTGAACGGACACCACTGTCAATCCTGAACGTAAAGGTTTTGAGTAAGTACCCTGAAGGAACACTTGCATCAGGCCAGGCTCCCCCACAAAAGGGGGGAATAGGGCCCCGCCCACCTGTAGTAAGTGGCCAGCAACGGTGGGCATTTGGAGGAAGCACGCCATCCCCAGGGCCAAAGACCTCCAATGCTGGCGGCCCTGGGTCTTGACCCTGGGCCTTTCCACTTTAAAATGGGGTTGATTCCCAATCTCTCCCCTTTGTGGGGCTGAGAATCAAAGGAGACACAGAACCTGCCTTGAGAACAGGTGAGATCTGTGGGCATGTGGGGAGTTGGGAGCACCTGACATGCTCTCCTAGCGGGATGTGCATTTTGAATGGCAACATGTGTTGCAGAGACACTACTCTGGAAGCCCCCACAGAAGGCCAGGCTGGTGGCTATGTCAGTCTCATGGGTCATAACAATGGGCCCACATTTAAATGGGAGTTTGTAAGATATTCCAAAGACAGGTATGGCCATTGGGCCAAGACGAAATACCCTCTACCCTGCATCTGGCCACTAAGTATCAACTGGCCTGGGTGTCACCATGGCTTGAAAAATGGAGCATGAGGCAGGAAGTGCCTGGAGTCAGACACAGGCACAGGGCCAAGACCTCGGGAAGTTGGAAAGTCAGGGTCCTGCAAAGGTTCGCTCGGAAGCACCGCTTCCCATCCTCGCCTGGCAGTCTCTGTGACAGGTTTAATCATGGCCAGCAGGCACGGCTGAGGAGTGGGAAGGCCTTGGCGGGGTGGGTCCCCACAGGCCATGACCTTCGCCACTTCTCCCAAGCCAGGTTGCGTTCACACTCACAAGATCAGGGTGGCAATTTCTGCACATGCACATCTTTGAGGCACACTTTAAGCAACAAAATTTCCCTTAAAAAGCCATGGAGCCCCTTCTCAGAGTGCAGACCAGCACAGGTGAACACAGCACCTCTGCGCCCTCAGCCCAAACGGTGGGGCTGCAGATGTCTCGGGAAGGCCCCGGGCATGTTGTGTGCCTTAATCGCAACACTGCCTTTCCATATATTTTAATGAGGTAGCTGTGTGATGCTGTGGATTTGGGGAAATGGTCACTGCTAAATTAATAGTTTACTCATCATACGTCAAACAAAGTATTTGACTTGTGCCTTGAGCTTCTGCTCAGATCTTAGGATGCCTCCCTGTCCCTTGAGCTGCTGCACAACCCTTGAAGCCAGTTTTAGAAATGTACCAGTCCAGCAGAAAGGTTCATTCTGTGCTCTTAAAATGAGAAGGTATCCCCTTAAAATGGGACAGCTTTCGTGGGTGTTCTTGAATGCGCTGAGCACCGAGTTCCTTTCCCCTTGATGTCACATTTGTTATTTATGTGCATGCAGACACACTCTTCAGGAGGATGCTTTAGGGCCAGCAGAGTTGTAGGAAGGCCACAGGGTAACTGGAGAGCAAGGTGGGATGAAAGAACGGCCCTTAGTGCTGCAACAGGATCCAACCACTCCTGAACCAGCTCCTGCCGACACAGTGGGGCGCATCCCACATTTGCCAATGGTGGACCTTGGGCAGATGAAGCCCTCAGCCTGCTTGCAGGCAGGGTGGTGGGACAATTCAGCAGTGGGACAGCCAGCTGGAAACGCCCAGGAGGCAGAGGAGGAGGGATGTGCTCGGGGACCAGGTGGAGCAGCCCAGGCTGGCTGGGGCGTTGGTTGCGTGTCCTGGATGTGCCCTTTCGCCCTCTCAGCGCTGGAGCCGGGGAGGTGGGGGTGGAGGGTGTCGTGGCCTCTGTAGAGTCCGGCACCATTGGTCTAACAGTGGCTTGCAGAAGAGGCCAAGGAGGTGAGGAGGGGAGCTGCACCCCACCCTGCAGCCCCATGGGAGGAGGCCGTTTGCAGCTTCCTGAACCCGCCCAGCATTCCCACTGTACATTACACTGTTGTCTGCCCAAACCTAGGACTCCTCTAATAGTTCCTACTTGAAATCTACAGTCTGTGGGACTAGTGAGTAATTCGTCTACATCTGACTACTAATGCTCTGAGAAATCTTCAAGTAGGTGACCCAAAACATTCTGAGTGGCAATTAATGACTCTTCCTTAGAATGAGTGGGAACATGTGATTTTCTTCCCATTAGTAAAAGTGAACAATGTCAAGTGATTTTTGAGCGGAGATCTGTGTGTCCCCCTCTGTGGCTTCACTGACACCCCTGATGCAGAGCCTGGGCCTTCCATCAGCTTGACTGTGACTTCAGAAGGCGAGAAATAAGGAGCTATTTTAACTCCTGCTTTTTTCTTGTTGAAATCCATAATTTCCTGTTCCCTCTACTTCTCATTTGCATAAAGCTCATCTCAGGAGCTGCATCCATTTCAATCCCATCATTGTTTACCAGCAAAATAATAACAACCTTCTAAAGCCAAATTTTCTCAAGATTGTGGGGCGCATCCAGGGTACAGCCAAGCCATAAACGCTGCCCACCACCAGGTGTCTGGTGAATCCCATGGAGGCGCTGGTCCTGGCAGGCTGAGCCCAAGTACTCTGATGGGGCACTGATCTACTGCGTGGGCAGAAAGTGCATTTCCAGTCCATAAGCTCTAGACGGAAACCATAATGAACGCTGCCTTCCTAACTGTGCCGAGGTTGAAAAGTTGGTCTTTAAGGCTGACACAGATATTTCAGATGTTGGAAAATCACCTTATGTAATTGGAACAGGGGATTAACTGTCTGAATCTCTGTAAAAACAACCAGCCTGTTGAGAATCCTGAGACTAAGAAAGACCACCATAGGAAGGGCTTCACACCTGCCTCTCTTGTTCTCCAGGGACCCCCAACTCCAGCCCACCCTGTAAAGTCACATTTGTCTCATCTCCATTCTACCACTGAGAGTTAGAAAAATAAAGCTGCATATTTTAAAAAGCAACATGGGAAAAGACCAAGCAGCTGCCTTGACACACAGGCCCCAGAGGAACAGTTATGAATAATTTGTTGGCTTGCCCAGGAAAACACTCTCATGACCCCCAAACAGCCTGACCGGGGTGGTTCGGGTCTGATAGGAGAGAGGTGAGAGGCATGGACATCTGACGTACTGCCGGGGGTCTGTCTGTTCCTGCTGACCACGAATGCTTAAACAGGCATATGAGCAAGTCCAGGGGAGGGTCCTGAGATGTGGTTTGTCTGGCATCTTCCACACAAACCTGGGAACAGGCTTTTCCACATATTAGTTACAACCATGAAAACAGCTGGAAACAAAACCACTGCATTTTGATAGCTTATCAAAGAAGTCTTTGAAATTCTAAACCCTATGATTAAAAAACATCATGCTGTCTTTCTTCAAGTTCAGGAAACAGAACTGAAGTCTTCCAAATAAATATTCTGCTGCTTTTCAAATACCTAACTTTTGGATACATCTAGATTTAACGTGTCCTGGATGTGCCCTTTCGCCCTCTCAGCGCTGGAGCCGGGGAGGTGGGGGTGGAGGGTGTCGTGGCCTCTGTAGAGTCCGGCACCATTGGTCTAACAGTGGCTTGCAGAAGAGGCCAAGGAGGTGAGGAGGGGAGCTGCACCCCACCCTGCAGCCCCATGGGAGGAGGCCGTTTGCAGCTTCCTGAACCCGCCCAGCATTCCCACTGTACATTACACTGTTGTCTGCCCAAACCTAGGACTCCTCTAATAGTTCCTACTTGAAATCTACAGTCTGTGGGACTAGTGAGTAATTCGTCTACATCTGACTACTAATGCTCTGAGAAATCTTCAAGTAGGTGACCCAAAACATTCTGAGTGGCAATTAATGACTCTTCCTTAGAATGAGTGGGAACATGTGATTTTCTTCCCATTAGTAAAAGTGAACAATGTCAAGTGATTTTTGAGCGGAGATCTGTGTGTCCCCCTCTGTGGCTTCACTGACACCCCTGATGCAGAGCCTGGGCCTTCCATCAGCTTGACTGTGACTTCAGAAGGCGAGAAATAAGGAGCTATTTTAACTCCTGCTTTTTTCTTGTTGAAATCCATAATTTCCTGTTCCCTCTACTTCTCATTTGCATAAAGCTCATCTCAGGAGCTGCATCCATTTCAATCCCATCATTGTTTACCAGCAAAATAATAACAACCTTCTAAAGCCAAATTTTCTCAAGATTGTGGGGCGCATCCAGGGTACAGCCAAGCCATAAACGCTGCCCACCACCAGGTGTCTGGTGAATCCCATGGAGGCGCTGGTCCTGGCAGGCTGAGCCCAAGTACTCTGATGGGGCACTGATCTACTGCGTGGGCAGAAAGTGCATTTCCAGTCCATAAGCTCTAGACGGAAACCATAATGAACGCTGCCTTCCTAACTGTGCCGAGGTTGAAAAGTTGGTCTTTAAGGCTGACACAGATATTTCAGATGTTGGAAAATCACCTTATGTAATTGGAACAGGGGATTAACTGTCTGAATCTCTGTAAAAACAACCAGCCTGTTGAGAATCCTGAGACTAAGAAAGACCACCATAGGAAGGGCTTCACACCTGCCTCTCTTGTTCTCCAGGGACCCCCAACTCCAGCCCACCCTGTAAAGTCACATTTGTCTCATCTCCATTCTACCACTGAGAGTTAGAAAAATAAAGCTGCATATTTTAAAAAGCAACATGGGAAAAGACCAAGCAGCTGCCTTGACACACAGGCCCCAGAGGAACAGTTATGAATAATTTGTTGGCTTGCCCAGGAAAACACTCTCATGACCCCCAAACAGCCTGACCGGGGTGGTTCGGGTCTGATAGGAGAGAGGTGAGAGGCATGGACATCTGACGTACTGCCGGGGGTCTGTCTGTTCCTGCTGACCACGAATGCTTAAACAGGCATATGAGCAAGTCCAGGGGAGGGTCCTGAGATGTGGTTTGTCTGGCATCTTCCACACAAACCTGGGAACAGGCTTTTCCACATATTAGTTACAACCATGAAAACAGCTGGAAACAAAACCACTGCATTTTGATAGCTTATCAAAGAATTCTTTGAAATTCTAAACCCTATGATTAAAAAACATCATGCTGTCTTTCTTCAAGTTCAGGAAACAGAACTGAAGTCTTCCAAATAAATATTCTGCTGCTTTTCAAATACCTAACTTTTGGATACATCTAGATTTACAGGATTATAAAAGAAAGTGCTGATTAGTTTTCAAAATTATAAAGGAGCAGAGCAGTCAAAAGCGGCAGAAAGGGAAGACAGACTGCATTTTGAGGTCAACGGTTAATTCAATGGTAAAGTACGTGATATAAAGAAATCTGCACAGATTATTGTTAGGCGAGTGAAAATCAGACTGCTAGACATCCTTCTCCTATTTTCCAAGTCCTGACCATCAGCCACTTATCACCAGCATTTTGATACTTTGCACGCTCCTAGAATTACTGGTTAAAAAAAGAAAGAAATGTGGACTAGGATCCCGGTTACCTAGAGCTTATACTTCCATCCCCTAAGGCTACGATGGTGGATGTGTAAGGTGCGTTGCTCCCGTTTCTCGTGCGTAGTGCCGTCACCTTTAAAAATCCTCCAAGTTTCCTTTCCTTGTTCATTTCTAAGAAGTCAGTACATATCCCTGTAGATCTCTTGCAGCAGTGGGTGCAGAGCTGCATCAGACTCCGTCTTTTTGATTACCTGGACAAGCTGCGCGTGCTCGGTGACCAGCTGCCGGAGGTCTGCCATTTTTTGCAGAAGTTTTGGGAAGAGAAAGGCGTTATCTGGGTGGTTGCTCTGCACGTGCAGCTTGAGCACATGCACGATGCCTTCCTGCATCTTTTCGATGTGCCCCACGTTGAGAAGGCCAGGGCGGTCTATCCTCGAAGGAAAGAAGAGGTGCGTGAGTGTGGTAATCACACGCCAACGCCTTGTGGCTGCCCATCAGTTTGAGAGACTGAACATTCTCAGTTTACATGGCTTTTCTCATAAAAGGCTTCTCTGCTTTTCGGTCCTGCCAACTTGCCCAGAAGACAGAACTAGAGTTTTCCAGTCACAAGGCCTACAGGGGCAGACAGGACACACACTCGTCCTGAATGTTTACACTGCCCTACTTTGATTGACAGGCTTCCTCACGGTATGGCCTCTCATTTTGGATTTACCTAATTACCGCCTGTCAGGGGAAAAACCCCAAAACAGTAGGAGTAACTATACGTTCTGATGACAATTACAGCAATCAATCGAGCATAATATGGTGAAATTAAATTCTTCCCAAGTCAAAACTAGGTATTTGGTTTCAAGATTTTCCCCAATATTTAAGGAGTGTGACTATGTCAGACTCGGGTTTTGTGGTATAAAGCACTGTTACAGCACCTTCAGAAATGAATCAGCTGAAAAGACAGCGGAGCGAGAACGGGAGGGAGGGTCGGTGTGCGCTGGACAGGGCGTGAGCAGCCCTGGAGGCCGCAGCCTCAGGCTTGGTGCAGGACGGGCCGCCGCTCCTGACCAGGCAGCATCCCTGGGGAGGCTCGGCTTTGAGCCCCGGACTCCCTGGGACAGTCTCAATGGCATGTCCTACCCTTGGTCCAGAAAATACCCTCCCCCATCCATGGTGAACAGGTGTGGTTCTCTTCAAAGCTCCACTTGCTGCTGGGACTTTCAAAAATGGGGCAAATTATGTGGAATTTTCATTGTGTTTTTGGTTGTAAAATAAACACAATGATTTGGAACTGAGCCCACCCCCATAATTTTAATCCCATCATACAAGTTTCATGTATATCTCACTAGACATTTTTCTGTATCTAGGATTGACATATAATTGTAATTTCTTTTATAAAGCTATGATCATACTACATATAAATAGTTCGGCAACTGCTTTTTACCCATAACACTATGTCTAGAGTGTGCAAAGGACACTGATGGATTACATACAATTGCTTTGCCAGTTACGCTTTTTGCCCGAACATGACTCCCTCCACCTGACTGTGCCCAGCTGGAGTGGTAACAGGGACCTGCCTCGAGGGACTTACGGGGAGTCTGGGGGGTCGAGGCCAGCCCCAATTCTGTGGTCAACTTCCAGTAGTTTGCAGGGGCATTTGCCCACTGGTCTCCCCAGGGCGGGGTAAGGTCAGCCGAGTTTACAGTAGAGGGATGACCTTCTTATACCCGGGGCAGGGCTATTTAAAGGACTATGACACTGAGCCAAAAATCTGGGTGCTTGCAGAGCCAGCTTCCCTGTAGAGAGGCCCAGATTTTAATCAATCGAGCATAATATGGTGAAATTAAATTCTTCCCAAGTCAAAACTAGGTATTTGGTTTCAAGATTTTCCCCAATATTTAAGGAGTGTGACTATGTCAGACTCGGGTTTTGTGGTATAAAGCACTGTTACAGCACCTTCAGAAATGAATCAGCTGAAAAGACAGCGGAGCGAGAACGGGAGGGAGGGTCGGTGTGCGCTGGACAGGGCGTGAGCAGCCCTGGAGGCCGCAGCCTCAGGCTTGGTGCAGGACGGGCCGCCGCTCCTGACCAGGCAGCATCCCTGGGGAGGCTCGGCTTTGAGCCCCGGACTCCCTGGGACAGTCTCAATGGCATGTCCTACCCTTGGTCCAGAAAATACCCTCCCCCATCCATGGTGAACAGGTGTGGTTCTCTTCAAAGCTCCACTTGCTGCTGGGACTTTCAAAAATGGGGCAAATTATGTGGAATTTTCATTGTGTTTTTGGTTGTAAAATAAACACAATGATTTGGAACTGAGCCCACCCCCATAATTTTAATCCCATCATACAAGTTTCATGTATATCTCACTAGACATTTTTCTGTATCTAGGATTGACATATAATTGTAATTTCTTTTATAAAGCTATGATCATACTACATATAAATAGTTCGGCAACTGCTTTTTACCCATAACACTATGTCTAGAGTGTGCAAAGGACACTGATGGATTACATACAATTGCTTTGCCAGTTACGCTTTTTGCCCGAACATGACTCCCTCCACCTGACTGTGCCCAGCTGGAGTGGTAACAGGGACCTGCCTCGAGGGACTTACGGGGAGTCTGGGGGGTCGAGGCCAGCCCCAATTCTGTGGTCAACTTCCAGTAGTTTGCAGGGGCATTTGCCCAGTGGTCTCCCCAGGGCGGGGTAAGGTCAGCCGAGTTTACAGTAGAGGGATGACCTTCTTATACCCGGGGCAGGGCTATTTAAAGGACTATGACACTGAGCCAAAAATCTGGGTGCTTGCAGAGCCAGCTTCCCTGTAGAGAGGCCCAGATTTTCCTTCACTGGGATCCATTTCCTTTGGCAAAGCAAACGTTTTACTTGCTGCCAGTTAGCTACTGATATTTTTCATTATGAAACAGCATAAATATACCAACAGTGGCAGTCACTTGTACTAACATCTGTATGGCACTTCATAGATACCATCTGTAATGTGGACATAATACTATGAGAAAATAATACATAATAACATTATACACCATACCTTATGACACAATCATAAAAATATCTAATGTATTAGATATGTAGATATTATATTATATATTATATAATCTACAATAATTATGTAAAATATCTAATATATTTGGTATGGTTATAATTTATAATGATAAATAGAATGTGTATTTATATACAATTATAAATAGAACACATTCATATAATGTACAAATATTTATATGTAATATATGCTATGAAATGACATGATATTGGGGTATTTCTTAATTCTAGTCAGTGGCAGTGTAGGGGCTCCGACACCCTCCCACCCAACCAGCACCCATTCTGCTGCCCCATGCCTCTCACACTGGATTTACCACTACTGAATTCTTCAAAATAGGAGGCTATAAGTGATATGGCACCATATTAAATCAATAACTCACCTCCACAGCAAATTATAGCAGCCACAAAAAGGGAGATATCACTGTCGTCCAGCTCCAGCGCGTTGAACTTCATGGCGAAATCAAACTTAGGCTCCATGATATCACAGAATGGTTTTCTTAGGCTTTTTAAGAATTCACGAGTTATAAAACCATTTCCATAGGCTACTAGCATCCCGTCTTTATTCATCACAGACGACAGCATGGCAAATATGGCCTCATAAACTCCATATTTCAGCAAAGTGACTTGATCATTCAAGTCCAAGTTTGCAAAGCCGGGGATGGACTTGGCGAATTCCGTGAGCTCGGTGACGGTCTCCACGGACGTGTACTGGCAGCAGTGGAAGATGCGGACTTCCGCCTCTTTGTTCTGGATGCCGTTGGCCACCAGCTTGGCCACGAGCGTCTTCTCAGCCATACACAATGTTTCCATGTCATGGATAACAAAAGGCTGCAAGGGAGACACTGGAGTAAGTCAGGAGGTGGGTGACAAGCTGTCCTCTTAACTGTGACAAGCTGGTGAGTGGCCACCACACCTAAATCACCTGTGGAAGGTCAACGTATGTACAGAACACAATCCTCATCCTTGAACAACCACAAAATCAGCTGGAGAGAAGGAGGCGTTCATAGATATACAGTGACAATGTGAATCAGCGAGAGAAGCAGTGTTGCCCGCTACCAAGTGGGGGTCTCATTGCCAAGGGAGTGAAGTACTGATTTGGGCAACGTAAAGCTAATGAGAAGATGAGCGAAGCACTTTCAATATTTTACAGTATTTTCTGAACTCTAAAATGTTACTACTAAAATAGTCTTAATTATAATAATTTTTAATTTTCCCATTTTATGAACGTAATAGATAACCATCATTATCTAATACTGTTGATGAATAAATCTGCCCTGTAAATATATACAACTCAGAAAGCTGACATTTGTCTACAGCAAGTAGACGGTGTTAAACCGTTGCTCCCTGGGGATAAACTGGAAAAGCCTGGAGAACCCTTGTTTCCTTGTGCGTAAGGCTGAACCCTTCACACTGGCGCTCCACATTCTGGAACAAATGCCAGATACCCATGGCCACCTATATGTTGCCATACCATTTGCTTCTAAACCCACTGGTCCTGCCACCTTGTAAGGTTCTAGTAGAGGACAGAGATGGCTGGCCACTGTTTGATGCCACCATGCCTAAAGGCATCATCTATCTGGTGGGTCATACGACCAAGGGCACCAACACCCGGCTAGCCAGAATGCATGCCAGTCGGTCTGCAAATCCTGGAGTACATATATCAGGGCATAAGCAGCCCAGTGACTTTAAGAATCACCTGCCACAGGGCAAAACACGTCTCAGTGGTGCATTTGGACTCCTGGCATGCTGTGTCCCCTTATTTCTGGGCTCAGGAGAGCATTTTGGGGAATCAGGGCACAAAACCATCCTGAGGGCACCCAAGGGGTGTACCGGGCACCCGAGCAGGGTGGGTGTGTCGGAGCAGTCCAATGGTATTGGATCGTCTTTGAAACATCTAAATAGAGTTGGAATTTGCAATGCAGTGTCAGACAAGAAAGACTTGGTTCCACATCCAAGGAAAAGGGATTATTTTTTAAATTACCTGTGAATGAGTGGAAACATTCTGAGCACAAATTCAAAGCCAAACTGCTACACACCTCAAGTCCAATTAAGGAAGATTAAAACCATTTCTCTCCAGAGACCTTACAAGCAGGCCAGATTACATTGTTTTGGGAATGCTGGGGAGCAGTTGTGCTTCCTAGAAAGTCGGGGCTCAAATTTAAGGAATTAATATTTATAGGATGGACGAGAGAAATGTTTTTAAAGGATAGATGGCAGTCTTCTGAGTCCCAGAAAATACACTATTAGGCCACCTTGACTTTATTCAAATCACTGGCTTTTAAAAGTATCTTCAGTAGAAAGAAAGGTGTAAAATTTAAAACAGAAAAAAGTTCTGTGGTCAAAAAAATTCAAGAAACACTGAGTTAAATGACGTGGGGGCCTCCCAGAGCCTTCAGCAGGAGTGCGCCCTGCACATGGCCAGGAGCAGAGACGGGGGATGCTGGGGTCGCCGTGCGTTTGATGACAGAGCGTTTACTTGTCGGTAGAGCGCCTCACAGGGCTAGCGCAGGATCGACTGCATAGTTCACAGGGCCCAGGACCAAACGAAAATGTGAGGCCCTTTGTTCAAAATGATCAAGAATTTCAAGACAGTGACGACAGCATGAATGCCAGCGCACGGCCCTCCTAAGCATGGTTACAGGGAAGGACACATGCCCACAGCGTGGGTGAGGGGCTGGTTCTATGCACAACCCGCAATCCTAAATGGAGACTTAAGTGGTAACAAATACTCCATTTCAGTTTTACAAAACTGTCACCTGGATTTTAGAAAGCAGGCCTCATTAACAGGCCAAATCAGAAGCCATTTAAATTCAACCAAGCCCTAACGTTGAGACACTGGTGTTAACTAAAGCTGAAGAGAAGCTGTACACTAGCCCATTAGAAAATTTGCCTAACCTTACTGATAAACATTCTTGAGAAGACTATTTTTAAAAATCCACGCAGCTTATATTTAACTTTGGAATGTACCTTTTCACACCGGCGGTCATTTCAAATAAAGCGCGTTGTAAAGATCTTAAGCAGCTCAGGGCAGAAGGCTGCTCAGGTTCCCCCAAACCACTCCTCATCAAGACCAGAGGGCTCCCCTGACACACTGTCCTGCTTACACCTGCTGGTGCTCTATGCGTGTTAGTGAGGGTACTTACAAGAACTTGGCTCCAAAATACACGGAAATGGCATTTTTTATATAAAGTTAGGCAGTGCCATCTTTTAAGAAAAATTTAACTGTGAATTATTGGTAGAATTTCTTTGGGGAAAGTTATTTAATAAATGTTTGGCTAGGTTTTCCTACATATTTATAGAGACTATAAAATATTAAGTATGTTTTCCAATCTAAAGACAAGTTAAGCAGTAGGGGTCCTATTTCAATATAACAGGCAAGACCCCCAATGGGGCACAAGGCATCACCCATCTGAAACGGCTGTGCTGCCAGGATGGCACCCGGGAGGCCCCCGACCCAAAGATGCTGGAATTCCTCTTCTGAAACTCGTTTTAGACCCTGTTCTCAGCCACGCGTCAAAAACGAGTCTCCCTGCATCCTTTACTTTTTTTCAGACAGGACGCCTCAGTCTGTTGAAATCGCAGTTGGCATTCCACCATGGCTACAACACACTCATGGTTTTGTCTCAGATTTAATTACGTTCTCAGAGGGCACAGATTTTTCCGTATCTGAAGATATGGAAAGACTCTGAAGATGATTCCTGACCATTCTGAGCAATGTGGGAATCTCTGACATGAACACAGACTGTCCCCTTCCCTGGAATTTTATGAACTTCTGATGCTTGTTACAGTCAACAGCAGTGTGCTACAGTATCATCACCTTATATTTGAATTGCTAAATCGAAATTGTGCTAACGAGTTGGGTTGTTTTTCTTAACCGAACACCCTCACCCATTTTTCAGAGGGGCAGCTAGCTTCTAAAACCAGAACCAGCTGAGCCTGAGAAGTGTGTGTTCACCTGGGTGCGTGTGTGTGTGTACATACATGTGCTCATCTGTGTGCACATTGACTGTGTATGCCCACATGTGAGTGAGTGTGCACGTGTGCGTGTGCAAACCCTTGGTTGCTGGGAAGCAAAAACCAGCAGGAAGATGCTGATGTGCACGCTCCTCAGAGTCTCATTTGCACCTTGTTGTTTTGTTAAGTCTTCTTGTGACATTCTTAACACCTCACAGATTAGCATGTTTTCCTTTAAGACACAGTTGAAAAGCGCCTTTTTTGGAAGCTAGCTCAGAAAGGACTGCATTGCCCCTGTGCCTCGGCCCTGCTCTGCTCGTCACCCTCAAATCAAGGAGCAGTGAGTGCCCGAAGGGCTCTGGCCTGGAAACTCAGGGCCCAAAAGGTCCTGAGATCTCAGGGGCTCCAAGCAGCCCAGCAGATGGAAACAGATGTCATGTCCACCCCATCGCCCCTGCTCCTCAGCTCAGAGTGTCTTGGACCAAAGCAACGGAACCTTCTCAGCTTCCATGCAGCTCCTTCCCCCATCCTGGCTCACCAGCCCCCCAACGGGGCCAGGTCAGCCACAGACCTTCACTTGATCCCATCCCCAGGCCATGGACGTGGTTGGAATGCACGAAGGAATGGTCTACTGCCAGGATAAATTCCACTCCCCATTTCTAGCAAACCAGAGCCCTGCATACAAATTAAATATGTGTGCAGCACCTCTCTTTCCCCATCAGGGTGTCTGTCACACATCCCAGGCCCAAGTGGGTGAGCGTGCAGGGGCACGTACAGCCTTGCCGAGGCAGTGCCCGAGAAAGCCTCTCCTAGGCGGGCTGGGAGGCGAGCCCCACTCTGAGCTGAGGGCCAGGGGCCCCATCTTACTCCAGGTCAATGCCTGTGTGCTGTGCACAAGTTCATGTTTTCACAGTCTGGTGAATAAATCTGTTTACAGCCCAAATTCATGAACCCCCAGCCCCCAAACATCCCCCTGGTGGGTTGGTGGGCCTTTCTGCAGCGCTATTAACGTCAGCCGTACCCTCCCCTGAACCTCCCAAGCCCGCACACGACTCAGCTGTTTGGGAAACAGACTCTGCTTCTCTGAACAAGTCCTGGGTCACAGGGAACCTCACTGAGGACCGTCGCATCGCCCCAGGTTGGAACTTTCGTAAAAAGGTTATGAAGTGGTGAGCACGGGTTAAGGTGAATGGGTCAGGGCCAAAGCTGGGAGACAGGAGGGCCACGCAGAGGACACAGGTGGGATGTGAACCCAGCTCAGAGCAAACGGTGTGATCACAGGCTGAGAGTGGGCGCCTTTCAGACTGGCCACAGTACTCTGGTCTGGGGGCGCAGGGCAGGAGCAGGTGCCTGACTCCACAAAGAAGTCTGTTGTCCCTGTACAGCGAAGCCCCATCATAGACTATTACTGGCCTACCGTTTATTTCCTTGAGACCCACATGCAGAGCTCTGTCCTAGAGTTTCTGTGTGGGATCCCCAATGGCCCAGACTTCAGCGCCTGTGGACAGGGGTGACAGGCCCCTCCCAAGAGCCTGCAGACCTTGGTGGGGGAGGCAGAGGGCACTCTGTGGGAATTGAATTACTGTCACACACAAGTGTCTGCTTAAGAGGAAAGATGACTTTGGAGTTTGCTTTAAATTCTGAAAATCCATGCAAGAAATAGAGAATCTCAGAAGAACTAAAAAGGCCTGAAGAGTTCAAAATTTGGTTATTCTAATTTGGGGCTATAAAAATTATTTCTGGGTTAGAAGTTCAAAGTTAAAAGGTTACTCTGCTTTCAGCCTGGTGATCCAGGAAGGGTCTCATTTCTACAAGCCTCTGGGGCTGCCCAGCCTGGGTGTGGCTTTACCAATTCAACAGAGCTTGCCCGAACCCTCCTGAAATTCCTCAGCCTATTTAATTGGGGAGTCCACTGAAGAATTAAAAGACTCAGTAAAAGAGAGGTTTGGTTTGTTCATGAAAGTAAGTAGCTTGTGAAATACTTTTATTTTCCTGTGACTAAAAATTCCAGCTTGCATTTCCCAGTAAGGGCTGATTCAAGCTCTTCATTAGTACACATTAAACCTGTTCCACCATGCTCAGAGGAAAAAGGCAAAATATTTGTTTGCCAACCTTGGGCCGTCCTCCTCTTTGAATGCGACTCTGAGATTAGTTCTGTAATGGAGACAAAGACCTAGTGGCTCTGGGGGGGAGACAGGATGATGCCAGGTGGGGCAGGTGGGTGAATGGGGGGTCCACAAGGGGTCTTCTTCGTTGCTACTGAAAAAGCCCAGAGCTGTCCCCAGAGACAATAAAGTTTCTGTGAACCCATGAGCCTTGCTAATCCCTGAGATGTCCTTGCCTTCTTGTGGAAGGAAAAGAACATGTGGGAGGTGGAGGGTGGGAAGGGAGAGGTTGGAGGGGGGGCAGTTTCAGGAGAAAGGATTGCCAAGAGCATGTCCCAAGTGGGAAGTGAATGGTTTCATTGTCCGGCACTAAAGTAGGGATTTTTTAAAATGCACTTAAGAAATGACCTGAGAATCTGGTAAACTATAACCAGATTTTTTGGTGTATTAATTGTATAGTCATTTTAAGAGCTTGGCTGCCAGGGGCTTTGAGGCGGGTGGAACCCAGAGGACAGGAGTGTTGCTCAGCTACACTTCAGGGTTTCTGACTGCGACCTTTGCGCTCCCTGGTCTGGTTTGCCTCGGGGGCAGACATCACTGCCAGGTAGCCACACTTGCCTCGGCTGTCCCCCTCGGACCCTAGCTGGTGGGCAGTGGGGACACTCAGACCGGACAGTGAACAGCAGCAAAGATGCCTACCGGGTTGCTGCTGGTTTTCCCCGCGAGGATGACCCGTGCCTTGACCTTGTTCATGTTGAAGTTCTTCAAGTAGGCCTCGTAAATTCTCTTGGCCAGAGATTTGAGATCTGCCGTTTCAGAATCTTCTATATCATGTTCACAGGTAAGAATCTCTGCCTTCAGCTTTGCTTTTTCGGACCTTGGCATCCGTCCAAACCGAATTGCTGGGGGTGAGAGAGGAACAGTGGGAACAAACAGAAACGAGCGGTGCGGCGCAGAACCCATGGCCAGCAGGGGCCGGACAGCGCGCAGTGGACTCAGCTAGGGACGGAGCACCTGCCTCTCGACGCTACTTGACTTTCTACCTTGGAGAGATGAAAATAAAACCCCAAGTCCACAAGTCCTGGACTTCCCTGTAAGGCTAGGTTAAAAGGCCACTGCTCATCTCATCAGCAGGATGGGCTTAAGGTCGCTTGTGGGCACTGGGTATGTAATCGATCCTCAGGTTAAAGAGACGACAGCGAGCCTTCGAGTGAGCTTGTATTATAATACCTTTTCCTTTTTCTAGAGGTAGACCAGCAACTCTTATGAACTAGTTGTTTTAAATTAAACCTTCCTGTAGTAATGGGCAGGCTCTAAAATTAGAGAGTAATTGAGTTTAATGGAATTTATAAAATGTTTAAGCTGTTTAAAATGGCACTTGCTTCAAAGGTAACAATACAAATATTGTGACAACCCAGTGACTTCTGATGGGTTTTAGAATCTTATATCAAGTCCTACTGCTGGGAGTTTCTAACGGTAATGCCAAGCGCTGTGTGGGACCTTGGCCACTTGAGACTTATTTTCTTAGGCCATCACGGTCACAAAATGCTCTGGCTTAATTATTAAACACTGCGGCGCATTCATTCAAAACACAGTCTGTTCCGAGCACACAAGGAAACTGAACGGAGGCCTGGCCGGGGAAAGCGTGAGAGCCCGCCTCGCCTACCATTATGGGACATCCCAACCGAGAGGCACTTGTTGAATCGGCAGTACTGGCACTTATTCCGGTTCTTTCTCTGGATCTTGCAGCCACGGTCACATTTGTCGTAGGCCAGCTTTAGTCTGACGGTTCTCCGGAAGAAGCCCTGTGAGGGCGACAAGAGGTTTATTAAGAACTAAGGTTCGGCGCTGCTAAACCACTGTCACAGCCTTATCCATGTTTCTTCTTGTCCATTTATTCTCTCTCAAAATGAACTAAATTTAGAGAGATGGTTCTAAAAAGTCTGATATAATTGGAACAAACGGAAAAATTTTGATTTCATGACAGGTAAAATGAAAAAAAAAAAAAAAAGAAGCCAAATTCAAAGTAATTTGAAAATGTCCCCATCTGGCTTAAGAAGATACAACTGTGATCTCCCAAAGAGTTAAGTCAGTCCCGTTATAGTTACACAAATGTAACTTTTCCTTTCATTTAACATCTGTGTTTGTGACCAAAAACTTTCTAGGAATTTTTGGAAGACAATATTCACTCCCTAAAAGTAATGTAATGTGGGCCCTGCAGCAAAGGCCGCCTGACCAGCCTTCTGGGAGGCGAGCGGGTAAGACGACTTGCTCTGGATCGTTCTCTGTGCTCCCCAGGTGCTTCTTTATGTCTGATGCACCCAGTCCGACTGCCCGCCGGAGGGGGGACAGCAACTTCTTGTGGAATCTAAGAGGGAGGCAGTTCCCTCACTTGACCAGTCATCGAGGTTTCTAAAGAGGGAAGGCCAAGGAACGTATGGGGTATGAGGAGGTGTGAGAAGCGAGGGCTCCGGATGTCGGTGCCAGGGGACCACTGACGTGGCCCGTTCCACCTGTGGACCAGGCCTCCAGGCCAGGCCTGCTCCAGGCGGGCGTCCATGTTGCAAGACTGCAGGTTGCACAGCACACCCTTCAAGGCTGTGCCACTCTCCAGATTGGCAAACAAACCCTTCCAGCATGCACAGGGGAAGAAGAGTTTTAACCAAATATTCAGATTGCTCAATTTCCTATGTATCATGTACGTGAAATGCCAAGCCTAAGAATGGACATACAGTTCTAGGAGTTTGTGATGCTTTGGGGGGTGTTGGCATACAAAGTATGAGTCCCTCCTATAGTCATGCGGGAGAGTCACAGGAGGGCCAGTGACCCTGCGGGCAGAATGCTGGGGGACGCTGCCTGACCTCCTGCACTGCTGGCCCCAGGTCACACATGATTGGAGCTCCAGCTGACGAACATGAGAATGAAGGTGTCCACAAAGGCGTCCGTGGTTCAGGTGGAGACCCCGGACTGCAGGGAGCCAGGAGCAGCTGGGAAGGAAGCCTCCCCTGGTGTGGGCGATCCTGACATTGCTGGTCGCTGCGAGCACACGGCCCTATCTGACCTGGTGAGGACGGAACAGAAGTGGGCTCTCTGACCCCATGTTCAAATGACAGAATCGTTCTTAATGTGGTTGGTTTTCTTTGAAAAAACACGCTTCCTTAGGTTACTTACGAAGGACAGTCCAGCGATCTGTCAAAGCCTCTCTGAAGAGAAACGGCTGTTACTTAAGTCAGTTTCTTACCTACAACTTTTTGAAGCTCTTGTTAGAAATGACAAACATCTGCGTATAAAATAAAAGGAACTGTTCATGTACCCTGGAGAGGACCACCTCCTTCTGCCGGGGCCACCGTACCTTGCAGCCTTCACATGCGTGAACTCCGTAGTGGTAGCCTGAGGCTTTGTCCCCACAGATCCTGCATTCAATGTTCAATGCTACGCTGGACGCCTCATCGGCACTGCCAGGAATCCCAGGAAAAGTGACCGATGAGGGACTTGACGCTGGAGAAAGGGTATCTAAGAACAGGAGGGGAAAGATGTATGAATATTCAAGGCATCACCATCCTACATCTAAATCAGGTTTATGAGGCTATGATTTCGTCTGTGAAGTATTTCTTGAGGCATCAGCGAGTGGGCAGAGCTCCTGTCCTGCGTTGGCCCCTGTCCTGGGCCATCCTACTGGCCCTGAGCTCCTGCGAGTAGAATCGCGCTGGCATCCCAGGCCCCTGACGGGCTGTCCTGGGTTCTGGGCCTGTAGGTGGGGCTGCGTCACACACTCCCCATGGGGCTCCCCCAGCTCCCTACACAGAACCCTCTAGTTTGTTTGTTTCCTTCCCGCTCTCCTGCGACCGTTCACTGAGGAAACCACTGGAAACAGTCTAAAAGTCCACACAGGCAGCAGGAAGAGTACACTCCAGGGAAGGTAAAAAAAGCTGGACTTTCTTAAAATCAACAATTCTGCTCTGCAAAAGACCCTGTTAAGAAAATGAAAAGACAACCCAGAGACTTGGAGAAAAACACTTGAAAATACACATCTGAGAAAAGAGCTGTATCCAAAATACACAGAGAAGCCTTAAAACTCAACAATAATAAAACAAACAACTCCTTAAAAAATGGGCAAAAGATTCTAATAAACACCTCATCAAAGAAGACATATGGATGGCAGGAAAGCCCAGGGGACAGTGTGCCACATCAGGGGTCATCAGGAAATCGTGAATTAAAGCAACAATGTGACACCACTACACATGTACTAAAATGGCTAAAAAAAACCCAAAAAAACTGACACCACCAATTCCTGGTGAGGATATGGAGCACCAGGAACCTTCATTCACTGCTGGTGGGAATGCAGATGGTGCAGCCCCTTTGGAAGACAGTTTCTTATGAAGCAAAACAGTATTAAGGGGATTACAGTCCTAGGTTTTTACCCAAACGATCTGAAAACTCACGTCCACACTAAAGTTACACACGAATGTCTATAGCAGCTGTATCCTTAACTGCCCAAATCAGAAGCAACCAAGATGCCCTGGAATAGTGAACGGGTTTTTGAAAAAGCCAGTCTGAAGAGGCTATGTACTATATGATCCTAAATATCTGACCTTTTGGGAGAGGCAGAACTACAGCAATGGAAAAGGCTCAGTTGCTGGAGTGGGTCAAGGTCAAACAGAGGCAGCACAAAAGTTTTTTGCAGTTGGTAAAACTATTCGCGTGAACATGTAATGGTGAATACAGGACGTTCTGCATTCGCAGAAGCCCACAGGACGTTTCAGTACAGAGTGACTGACCTTTGGTGTGTGCAAATCAACAAAAATAATTTAGGAGGTCCGGGGACCCCAGGATGCAACACAAAATGTGACAAAACAATCGAACTGTATCACCAACGTGTGAAACCACCTCACTCAGGGGCGGGGAGCGAAGGGGCTGACCTAGGTAACCTTGGAAATGCATGGGGCTGAGGAAAAGCAAAGGAAAGCATGCGTAACACCTCATGCTGGTTGAGAAAGTCGCTCCCCATGAGGTCTGGGGTAACAATACTGCTACCATTTGTACAGGTGTACTAGAAACAGTTAATTAAGTGAGGTGGGTGGTGGCAGCCTGGCGTCTCACTGCTGGACAAACAAAGGGAGCGGGCAGGAGGATCCATGTGGTGTGGGTGAGAGCGCAGGCGTCAGTGTGAACTCACATCTAGCTTCACAGAGATACAGATGGCTACGTACAGAAACATTTACATATATACACATATAATGTATGCCAGAGCCTAAAAGAAAAGGTCCAGTCGCAACCTGAATGGATTAAAGGGAACAACACCCAGGACTCACACAGGGTCGGATATATTCCCATCTAACATAAGCTTAAGCACAAGGCCTGGAAGGATCAAAGGTTTTCCAGGTAATTCAGCTGTATCCCCTAACAAAACTCAAGAATATTTATGGGAATACAGAAATGCTCAGCACCAACAAAGCTCACAGTGCATGGCATCCAAATAAAAATTACAAAACAACAAAGCAGAAAAACATGGCCCATCATGAGGAGAAAAAAAATCAATGAGCTGAAACTGACCCAGAAATGACACAGATGATAGAATTTGTAGACAAGATATTTTGAAAAGCTGACTGTATTCTAAATATTGATTAAGCTGAGACAAACTGAACATGTCAGGTAGAGACTGAGGAAGAGGAAAATCCAAATCAGACATCTAGTGATGAAAACTGCAATATCTGGTACAAAAAATATGGATGGGACCAGCACCAGATTGGACATCGCAGAAAAGATTAATAAACTTAAAGATGTAGCAGGAGGAACTATCCAAAATGAAACGGAGAAAAGTAAGACTGAAAAAAAAACCCAAAAAAAACACACAGCTTCATATGTGGAATCTACCAAGCATTTATGAAAGAATCTCAATTCTACAGAAATACTTTCAGGAAACTTCAGAAGAGGGGAGTACTTCCTACCTTATTCTGTGAGGCTAGCGTCAATCTCATATCAAAACCAAAGATTTTACAAGAACAGAAAACTAGAAACAATTATCCCTCATGAACATGGATGCAAAAATTCTTAACATGATTCTAGCAAGTTAAATCCTGCAGTGTAGACCTTATGACCAAGTAGGATTTCTCTCGGGAATGCAAGGTTAGCTTAACCTTTGAACATCAAACAGTGCAATTCACCTTATCATCAAACTAAAAAAGAAAAATTACCTTTGATTATCTTACTAGATACAGGAAAAGTACTTGACAAAAATCCAACATTAATTCCTGATAAAAACTCAAAATGAGGATTCAAAGGGAACTTCAACTAATGAAGGGCATTTATGAAAAACTGAAGTTAACATCACACACAGTGGAGAAAGACTGAATGCTTTCCTCCTGAGGTGAGGAACAAGACAGGGATGTTTCAGTACTTTATTCAACAATGTCTTAATTCTAACCAGCATAATAAAGCAGGAAAAAGAAATACAGGCATCCAGCTTTAAAAGGAGGAAGTAAAACTGTCTTCATTTACAGATGACATAATTATCTGTGTAGAAAATCCTAAACTATATAAAAACTACTAAAACTAATGAATGAGTTTAGCAAGGGTGTAGGTTACAAGATCAACACTCAGTGAATCAATTGCATTTCTATAAATAGCAACAAATGATCAGAAATTGAAATGTAAAAATACCATTTACAATGGCATCAAAAACATGAAACACTCAGCAATAAACCTCACAAGAAACGTGAAAGACCTGCACACTAAAAACCATAAAACTTTGCTGAAAGAAATGAAAGAAAACTTAAACCAAATGAAGAATCAGGTTTTGTGGCTTGGAACACTCAACATTATTATGATGTCAATTTTGCTCACATTGATCTAGAGAGTCAATGCAATACAATAAAAATTTCAGCAGCCTTTTTGGGTAGAAATTGATAAATTGATTAAATAAATATAACAATGAACTCAAAATGTTGACCTTGGATTCAGTGAGACAAGGACATGCACACACAGTGGCTCACACAGTGTGGGGTCGCCTGGGCTATGACTGTCACTGTCACTGTCACTAGCACAGGCTGGCCACAAGGCGACCTAGCTGGGCTCCGCAAGGTGGCCCCACATGGCAGGGGCTTTTCCTTGCTCCCTCCTTCCAGCTTCTGGGAGCTGCTATCACCCTGCACATTTGTCCCCTTTCCCCAAAGCTCATCCCCTCTGTGATGTGTTATGAGAAAGGAGCTAAAACTTGACCCACTCACAAAGGTCACCACGGAGGCTGCCCAACCATGAAGGTGCCCAGAGTCCACTAACCCGTTACCGTCTCAGGGTCTCACATGTGCCACACAGTCTGTGCTTTACCAAGTGGAGCCACTGCTGGCTTTCCAAAGGGACACTCCCGGTGTGACAAAGAGCATGGCTCTGAAGCCAGCTGAGAAGTGCGGGGTCAAGTCTGGGTCTCTTTCCAGCTGTGTGACTGGGCCAAGTCACCTAGTTTCTCTGAGTACTTCCATCTTTGTAAAACAATAACAATCTTTCTTACCCAAGTTTTATGAGGATTATGTAAGCCTTTGTACATGCTGCCGCCTTCTGCCAAGAACACTCTTCCCCACTGTTTTTATTTTTCTTGAAATATTTCAAACATACAGGAAAACACACAGTACAAGACCCACCACCCAGATGTACAAATGGTCACATTTTACCATGCCGCTTCATGTCGTGCTTTTAAAGTACAACCTAGAGAGCTGAAGGCCCGGAGGGACCCTTTCCCCAGCCCCTCTCCCATCTCTCAGGAGGTGGCCAAGAGCTGAGGGCTGGCACACACTTTGCAAAATGTGCGTGTCTATATCCACCAATGACATGCTACTCTGTTTGGTGTTTGACATGTTACGGGAACTGAATCATACTGAATATATCCTTAAGTTTGTTTTTATTCAATGTTTGCTTTTTAGATGGATTTGTTTTGTGGAGCTGATCAATTCTTCTAAATTACTATAAAGTTCCCACTGTAGGAAACTTTCACTATTCACGTTTCCATTGCTTCCCATTCTTCCCTGTCACAAATGTCGCTGCAGTGCACACACAATCACATACACGACTGCAACACACAGACCTTTGTGCACATCTCCCCCTGGAACTGCTCCCAGTGGGCTTGCAGGGTCCCAGAGCGCAGGCGCTTTCACCCGCTCTCCCCACACAGGTTTCATCAGCGCACCCCTTCCCGCACAGTACAACTGCTCCCTTTCCTGCACCCACTGAAGTCAGTGCACACCCATGAAAATGAAAACCACCTCCCCGAGTGGGAATAAGCCAGAGAGAGCAGGGGGCGTGTGGGACATGCTCCAGCCAAGAGCAGCCCCAGGGGAGCCGTGGAGGGAAAGCACAGAGACGGATCAGCAAAGGCCGCACGGAGAACCCCACTATTCCATGCCAGAGCCGAAGACCAGACACGCCTCGTTACCAACCACAGGCTCCTCCTCCCGGCCGGTCCAGATCCAACTGTTTCGGCCCTGAACCAATCCCAGGCTGCCAAGGAACCTTGTGGGGTCAAGGGCACCCCAGATGGTGCTTCCTCAAAGCCAGGGTGCAGTCTATACCACGCTCTCCTGGGCTGGCTGAAGTGTGCCTAGGACGACGAACCGTCTCATGACTTCCTTCCCAACGATGGCTACCTGTGTGGACCCCACACTTCATTCCTTTGTGTCCACCTTGCCTGATACCTGATGGAGTCCTTTGTGCCATGTGAGATGTAGAGAGGTGTTTCATATACACTTTTAATAAAAAAGAGGCATTTTTACTGCAAAAGGAGCTTCTGCTTTGAAGAAATAGAAACACAGAATTATTTTGACACACGGCTGACTGCTTTATCTGGATTTCCAGCAACACTCAGTTTGTGAATAGCTTTTGACAGAAGGCACACTAGGAGACGTGAGATGAACCTAGGATGCTTCGAGGCCCAGGGGCCCGGGACATCGTGCTGTATTGTGTCCGAGGATTTCACTGCAGAAAGACGTGACTTCTTTCCCAGCCAATGAGAACAATTTTCTCTGTGGAAAAAACATTTCTAAATAAAGCTTTCGAGGAGCAGCACACTTACCGGTGATCACTGACCCATCTGATCCTGGGCCACTTCCTAAATATTGGTATTCTGTAAAACTAAAGCTTCCGGAACTGTCTTCGCCAATAGATTGAGAAATCTCTTGAATGTTTCCCATTTCTTGCAGGAATTCTTCAGATAACGGGCTTTCCAGATCATCAGGCTCAAGTGGGGAGAGGGGGCAAATTGGGCTTTCCGTGTCCACCATCTTGACCCAACGTTGCCAGTCACACTACGGAACTCCTACGAGCTGGGGGGAGAGAGAAGTGACGGGTGAGACACACACAGAACCATTCTTTCCTTTACTGAGGACATCACTTACCCGTGAAGATACGCCTGAACTCATAATCCAGAAAGTAACCGCTGACCATCGCTCCGCAGCCCAACTCTCGAGAAGCGCACTCAGACAACGGAAATCTTTCAACACAAACTGTTTACAGAATTAAAGCCACTCAGGCAGGAATCAGTCATTCGTTACGGAGTATGCACTCTTCACTGAGCTCAACCCACTGCATCTGCAGTGGACCCAAAGTCCCTGATTTCTTAGAACACCCCCACCAGTGGGGGTACAAGCAGCAGGCAGATGGACAAATACCCGTGCAGAATGTCTGGTGGCGATGCAGTAACCCAAGTGGCTGGGGGGACACTGCCTCACATGGGGAGACCGGAACCTGAGGAATGAGGGGGAGGGCTCTGCAGAGATGTCTTGGGGGAGAATGTTCCAGCAAAATGAACAGAAGTACGAAGGCCCCCGGGGGGAAGCAGGAAGGAGCAGGCCAGGGTGGTTCAGCTGAAAGGGGTGGGAAGGGCAGGAGGGACGGGTCAGCATGCACCCTGGGTGCAACATTGTATGTCCTCCTGGTACCCCTGGGGTAAGTCAGGTAGGTTTTCCCGGTAATAAATGCACCATGGAGTTTAAAAAGCCTGAACAGGTGAGTCCCCAACAGAGCTAGGCTGCAGCAGCCAACGGACAGAACGCAACCCAGTGGGTCCCACTGTGAGAGTGACTGTGTCCTGCTGAAATCCCCACGCTACCTGGGGCTTCAGAACGTGGCTGTCTTCGGAGATGAGGTCTTTAAAGAGGTGATGATGTTAAAATGAGGTCTTCAGACTGGGCCCGGACCCAATCTGACCAGTGTCCTTACAGAGAGGAGGAGACTTGGACACACACAAGACACAAGGGGTGTGTGCGTGGAGGGAAGGCCACCAGCACCCCAAGGAGTGAGGCCCCGGGAGAAACCAAAGCCACCGGCACTCCGATCTCGGGCCTCCAGACTCCAGAGCTGTGGGGACAAACGTCTCTGCTGGGCCCTGGTCTGCGGTCCTGGTCACTGCGGCCGCACACACAGCCACAGGCTCCAGCCAGCAGCGCACCCTGGCCTCCAGCTGGTTGGTATCATGCTCCTGCTTGAACATCTGCAACCTCTTTCCGTGACCTCCAGACCAGAGCCCCGTCTCCTCGGCACAAGGCTGGGGCCCTTAGGACATGTCTGCCACCTGACCTCACCCTTCCCTGTCCCCATGTCCCCACGGCAGTCAGAGTTCTGGGCTATGGCCTGCCCACTGCATGTCAGTGCCTTCACCTGGGGCCACGTGCCCGAGCTCCCTGGCATCTCTGTCTCCTGACGCCCTGGCTCCAGGTCCACCCCTGAGCCTGGCAGCCCTCACTGCCCAGTGAGGTCCAGGAGGTGACACTCAGCCTCTGTAACTGCTTTCCCCACAAAGTGTTCACAGAGAAGCCATAGCTCCCATCGTGGAGAGGACCAGGGGTGGGGGGCAGGCCCCCAGCGGCCCAGGTACTCCGCAAGGTGGCCACCGTCACGCTGTGGCCACAGACGCCAGGCTCTCCTGGCAGAGTGAGAATAATATTCCAAAGCAAACCCCTGGAATGTACTTGTGTAGAAACATGTTCACATTTCAGCCTTGTTTAAAGTAAAAAGCTTTAAGTGCAAAGACGATGGCATGTTTTGGCTCCCTTTAGAAATGAAAAATGGGTACAATGTACCCATTTTTGTGAAATCCACATCCCATGGTTGGAATTCTGACAGTAAGTTACCATAGCTGACAATAATGCACAAGGAAAAAATAAGAGAATCATTCACCTTTCATTAGATTTAGAAGATTTTCTCTATATTAGTGTAAATCAGGCTGTGAATCTGTGCATTTTTCCATCATATTATTCTTCACAGATCTGAAGGAAGATTTTTTTAAACAGCAAACAAGAAAACAGGGTAAGCATTACTTAAAATACTTTTTCATCCCGAATACTAGATTCAAAATTGCTGTCACTAACTCGCTGTATTAACCACAAAGTTCAGCCTAATCAACATCAGAGAGCCGGGCAGGGTCAGTGCTGCCAACAGGGCTGTGACCACCTCTGTACCCCCACCACTTCCAGGCGCAGCAATGGAAAATGCACACAGACAGCGGCCTTTCATTCCCGCAAATATTCTATCTTCTAGCCTGGAGAATCAAAACAGGAGGAATTGATCTTTGACCATAAGATGATGCTCATTCCCCTGTCATTACATTCAGGGTGGTAGAATGTTTTGAGATCTTATCATTTCACTTTCTGCTTGCTTTTAAAGAGTACATGAGATTTATTTAGACAGATGTGGGTCTGTTAATGAAGAGCTAAGCAAGATAAAATCCCTCGCAGAGTGAGGCAATACTGTCCTGAACTCTGGCCAGAGGGCTGGCTTTCACCAGGTCCCTGAAGGCACCGGCCCGTTCTCGCGTCCAGCCAGGGCAGATAAAGAGCGGTGCCCTTTGAACGCATCCCACGTCCTCGAGGGAGGGGGGCGGAGGTCGCAGGGCACACCGCGTCCCCTTCCCCGGGGTTTCCCAGTGTGCTCTGGCGCCTGCTCTCTCTGGTCACTATCGCTTCTGCTCAGGGAGCAGAAATACCACGGGAAGTCTCTGCCTCTGAGGTCCACCCAACACCGCCACTGGCCGGGTCACCGAGAAGGGCAACCCAGGCGCCAGCCACTGCTCCCTGTGCCCTGAGGGCTCTGGACGGACAGACAGTGTAACAATCTCTTTTCTCTGCGGTCTGAGAAAATTTGGCCAAGGAGACAAACACAAACCGGCTCGGGCAGTGATTAAGAATGCAAACGGAGCTGAAATAGCCTTCAGTTTCCCAGCACAGAGACAGCTTCCTATAAGCCGTGACCCACGGCAAAGAGCAAAGGAATGGGGGGCCATGCAAGTGCTTTGCCCTCGCGCCCTGGCCGGTGATGTTTTGTGATCCCGTCCCTCCTGCCTCGGCCCAGACCCGCCGGGCCCCAGATGCGCCTTGTCCTTCCACCCAACTTGAATGGTGGAGCTGCAAGTGCGCAGCAAAAACCCACGTGACTGAAGCTCTATGTTTAGGTTTTAGGAGAATATTCATCAATCACAGTATTCCTTTGAGCTCTATGAAGCAGTGTACAAAGATATAGAACATTAAGAAAAAAAGAGACAAGAAAGAAAGGGGGAAGAATTTTATATTAACTGGTAACCTTGCACACTACCATACTTTCCAAATCACCGGCTCTTAGATGGCGTGAAACTTGGAAGACTATGCTAGATAGAAGGAGTTGTTCATGGCAAACGAGCTCTTCCTACGCGAAGCCAAGGAGGGCTCAGCACCCCGTCCTGTGGGTCCCCACAGCTCCCCGAGCCCACTTCTGATTGAGGCCTGGCTGTACGCAGCGTTGGAAACTTTTCTGTCTGTCTCCCCCCAGACTGTATGTTTCTTGAGGGCAGGGAATGTATTTTGCTAGTCTTTGTATCCAGGCTTCTAGCAGAATTCATACTATGCAGCAGGTGTCCCATTTCTCTCTCTAGCGCTTGGTTACGCCTGGCACAGATACTCACGAAGCACTGACTCCACCAGCAACTAGGAGAGGGGGAACTCGCGCTGCTCGTGTCAGCACCTGCAGCCTGCCATCGCCCGGATGGCAAAACGGCACGCACACGACCAGAGACGGCCTAACATCTCCAGAACAGGAGCCACAGGGGTTCTACCTGGGGAAGGGATCAATGTGCGCAGTGAATTATGGTCACAGGGATTTAACGGCAGAGCAGGTAAGGGGAAAAATGGAAGCAAAACAGAGAACAACAAAGTTCCCCACAGGCAGGAAAGAGCAGGCTTCCCGCAGGACAGGGACGTGGGACACAGAGGCGCTTGGTTATCAACCCTGAGTTTGAGGGCTGTGCCCAGGCCCTGGGCACGGGACTGAAGCACAGTGGGCGCGCCATACAGACTGCTCAGTACAACTAAAGGCAGTACAGATGATCAGTCCGACTCTCTACCTTAGAGACAGAGAAGTGGGGAAATGCTCTGAACTAAAATATATCAGAGATTTCAAGAAAGAGTAAAGAAGTTTTATCATCTGATCAGAATAAAAGCCCAAGGGGAATTAATTATCAGCCCTCAAGGGTGCTACTGTGTCTGACCCACCTTTCATTCCTACATTATTGATGGAGTTTCTTGGACCTAGAAGGCCACATAACACTGCAATATTTTCTGAAATTAAGTGTTGAGTAACAGTAAATATATTCTGAAATTAAACATTAAACAACAGCTCAATACTGTCCCAACTACCACAACATTTTTATATGCTATGGGATCAGATACTTAAGAAAAAGCACAAATGGAACTTGGCTTGAATTTTCACACTCAGAACTTGTATTTGACACAAAAGGGTCCAGATAAACAGTTATAAACATTATTTTTACTTTGCTACTATTTATCTTTCTATAATCAACCCTAATTTATTGTATTGTGAAACCCTCTCAGATTATCACTTAATATTCATGCTTAATAATGCCACCTTAATGCTAAATTGTCTCATAAGACTACTGAGCGGTTGAAGGTAAAAGATGTAATTTTGGTCAAAAGTGTACCTTTCATGCAGCAGATGTGACAGCTATCAAGGAATTTTTCCATTTTCTACCAATTATAATTCACAATCTTGTCAGATTATTTATACTTTCTGGTGTGCTTTTTAGATATTACATTCAATATTTAGAAGCCTTTTTGCTCAATTTGTTGGGCTAGGATTTAAAACATTTCAAAATAAACAAAAGAATGCTAAAAAGCTCTCTGTATTGAAATGGGAACCCTCCTACACTGTTGGTGGGACTGTAAATTGGTGCAACCACTGTGGAAAGCAATATGGAGGTTCCTTAAAAAACCAAAAATAGAAATATCATTTGACCCAGTAATTCCACTTTTAGAAATTTATGTGAAGAAAACAAATCCCT